CACTTCCTCCCACCGCCCCGTTACATCAACTTGGCTTCTCCCATCCCGCTCACTCAATCCACTCAGGATTGTGTGTTTGATTCGCAATTCGATTTTTGGGCTAGGCCATGCGAATCTTGAGCTGCACGAACAGAGATGGCCAAACCGAATTGAGTTACCACGTACACGCGTTTTGCACGCTAATGATCGTTTTTGCTCCCTTACTGGCGGAGTTGGAAGAACAGTCGTCACGGCTAAAATGTAACAATTAGGTACCCGGACTCGCACTGCAACAAATTACTTCCCATATATATTAAAAAAAATGCCCAGTTTCTGTGCAGTCGTTTCGCTTGAAACTGCACCGCTGGGCTTCAGGACAAGGTCCTGAAAGGCCGACTCTCTAACATGTCTGATCTCCGTGTAACATGTCTTGTCTCTGTGTAACATGTCTTGCCTCCGTATGTGACCCATGTTGTCTCTGTGCGTTACCTATGCCGCCCGCAGTCAAGCACACGGGAAACCTGGGTCTGGATGAGATCATCAACATCGCCCGCCAGATGAGACCCAGGTCCCTGGCTCGTGAGCTCAAGGGTGAGTTACGCGCGTGCGTGGGAGAGGGGTTGTGTAGCGCAGGGGTCCCCAATAGGCCGAGGACCGGTACCGGTCCGTGGCCTGCTCAGGACCTGGCCGCACAGCAGGAGGTGAGAGCGGTGAGTCCGCACGTGGCCCGCCCATTACTTTATTTACCACTTCCATCCGCGCCTCTTTCCCGCACTAGTCAGTGTTGGTAAGCCCACAAGCTCTAACCCCTAGTAGCCACAATGAGTAAGCCCACAAGCTCTAACCCCTAGTAGCCACAATGAGTAAGCCCACAAGCTCTTAACCCCTAGTAGCCACAATGAGTAAGCCCACAAGCTCTAACCCCTAGTAGCCACAATGAGTAAGCCCACAAGCTCTTAACCCCTAGTAGCCACAATGAGTAAGCCCACAAGCTCTAACCCCCTAGTAGCCACAATGAGTAAGCCCACAAGCTCTAACCCCTAGTAACCACAATGAGTATGCCCACAAGTTCTAACCCCTAGTAGCCACAATGAGTTAGCCCACAAGCTAACCCCTAGTAGTCACAATGAGTAAGCCCACAAGCTCTAACCCCTAGTAACCACAATGAGTATGCCCACAAGTTCTAACCCCTAGTAGCCACAATGAGTAAGCCCCACAAGCTCTAACCCCTAGTAGTCACAATGAGTAAGCCCACAAGTTCTAACCCCTAGTAACCACAATGAGTAAGCCCACAAGCTGACCCCTAGTAGCCACAATGAGTTAGCCCACAAGCTAACCCCTAGTAGCCACAATGAGTAAGCCCACAAGTTCTAACCCCTAGTAGCCACAATGAGTAAGCCCACAAGTTCTAACCCCTAGTAGCCACAATGAGTAAGCCCCACAAGCTCTAACCCCTAGTAGTCACAATGAGTAAGCCCACAAGTTCTAACCCCTAGTAACCACAATGAGTATGCCCACAAGTTCTAACCCCTAGTGGCCACAATGAGTAAGCCCACAAGCTCTAACCCCTAGTAGCCACAATGAGTAAGCCCACAAGCTCTAACCCCTAGTAGCCACAAGGAGTAAGCCCACAAGCTCTAACCCCTAGTAGCCACAATGAGTAAGCCCACAAGCTCTAACCCCTAGTAGCCACAATGAGTAAGCCCACAAGCTCTAACCCCTAGTAGCCACATTGAGTAAGCCCACAAGCTCTAACCCCTAGTAGCCGCAATGAGTAAGCCCACAAGCTCTAACCCCTAGTAGCCACAATGAGTAAGTCCACAAGCTCTAACCCCTAGTAGCCACAATGAGTAAGCCCACAAGCTCTAACCCCTAGAAGCCACAATGAGTAAAACACAAATGTCGCTGGAGAGCTTCTTTGAAAGGGGGAAAGACCCAATGATGAACGTCCTCCCCCCCCCCCCGGTCCGTGAAAAATTTGTCTTCTACGAAACCCGTTCCCTGGTGCCAAAAAGGATGGGGCCCGCTGGACTGTAGCGGGTTAGAGCAAGCTGCACTACGAACCTGGAGACCGCAGTTCGATTCCCGAACTGGGGCCTCCGGGTTGGTGAGTACCTGCTGTGGTGTGTAAGCATCGCCACTCGGGAGACGAAGGGTGCGGCGCTGGCCGCCCACCCCCTCGTGTGCCGTTCCGGCCTTCGTCGGTGCTCGATAACAGCACTTTCCCCAAGAGTCTGTCAAGGCTATACGGGGGGGGGGGTCTTTGTGGGGGAGCAGTAGTGTAGTGGTTATCGTGCTGCGCTTTGAACCCGGCGACTCGGAATTCAATTCCCGCTCACGGGCCATGAAAACCTTGTTGACCTTCCCCCGCACCTCCGATTAGCTCGGTTGGCTACGTACGGTGCGAAAGAAGTTCAACATACATACAGCTCTTGCCCCAACAGCCTGCTAAAGTTACGCGGATGGACGGGGGGGGGGGGGTCTTTGTATTTGTGTTAGGCACGGTGAAGGAGATCCTGGGCACGGCCCAGTCAGTGGGCTGCACCGTGGATGGGAAGCACCCGCACGACGTCATCGACGAGATCAACAACGGGGAGACTGAGATCCCCTCGGTGAGTTCTCGCCCCCGCAGACACATGGCGCACGGAGAGGCACAGGACTCAAGAGACATAGTATGCAGAGAGGTACAGGACTCGGAGATACACAGAGATACTCAGAAGGGAAATACCTCAACATTGAAAATCCCCTTGGTGAGTTCTTCTCCAGACAGAACACGTGAGAGATGCAGAGGGATACGACTACAGAGGTACACGCACATGCACTCAAATCTAAACATTTATTTATTTATTTTACAAATGAAGCCCACTGAGCTATAAGCGCCTTTTTAGAAGCCACCCGGCGAAGGGAAACACCCAAATGCAGATCCCCTCCGTCAGCTGCTTGTCCAGAGAGACGGTACACGCAGAGATACAGAACTCCTGTAGGTGCAGAGGGACACTCCACTCGGATGGACTCGGAAGGGAAACACACCCAGACACCGAATAGACGGTGGTCCACTCCGCGAGGAATCGCACGTGGACACACGTAGAGTACTGCGTGCTACACACGGGTAGAGGTACACACGTGTGCAGATACACACAACTTGGATTACGTGTGGCTATCTGTATCCCAACCGAGTGATTTGACAGGTGATTTTCGAATGTGGCAAATTTGGACCCGACGCTGACACACGACAACCTCTTGAGAAGTACATCGGGGGGGGGTCGGATCTTTAAAGGTCCGCCGTGAGTGAAACAGGGTGTCGTCGTGTGTGCGATTATGGCTGTCACCCACCGGCAGTGTTAATCAGGGCGGCTGCTGGGTTAGAACCGTGAAGCTTTTGACGGCGGCGGCGCTGCTGCTGGTCGTCACCCCCACGGTGATTGTCAATCTGTGTAGAGTGTGTGTGGAGGTTGTGCTGCAACGGGTGTGTTGTGTGTGTGTTGCAGGATTAAAGAACACCAGCTCCGAAGTGATTGTGGGAAACAAAGCATCGAATTTAAATAAAAACTAAAAAAAAATCCAAAGGTTTTTTTTGTCTGTGGTTTTTAAAAAGAGTACCAATAAATTATCTTGTTTTTTTCTTCCCAACTTTTCAGGAGGAAATGCAAAAAAACCCCATCACTATCGCCACCTAACACACCGCCTCAGCTGCCTCCATTGTTTATACGCTGAACTTCTTTTGCACCGTACATAGCCAGCCGTGCTAATTGGCGGTGCAGTGTTGAGTATGGGCAGCGTTGAGTCTATGGGTAGTCTGGTCAGTGTTAGTCTATGGGCAGTGTTGAGTTTATGGGCAGCGTTGAGCCTATGTGAAGTGTTGAGTCTATGGGCAGTGTTGAGTCTATGTGAAGTGTTGTGTCTATGGGTAGTATTGAGTCTATGGGCAGTATGTAAGGTTCCTCTGATTAGCCAAGGGTGCTAATCGGAGGTGCGAATTTTCTTCCCCCAGCCACCTGTGCTGTCTACTCCCTGCCTATTGTCGACTGCCTCTAACAGAACCGTAGACTCACACGGGGACAAATCCTCGCATAGGGACCCATAAACAAGGGACCCAGACTAGCACAGGAACCAATGATTTGACTTTTCCGATAAACTATATACGCCCACTGTTTCTGTGCAGGCTTGAGATAAGGCCACAATTTATATAGTATGTAAATACACATTGTAAGATGTAGATGCAAGTCTATCGATCACCCACAAGTTTGGGCTCAATATCAAGTCCAGGCTCAACTTTTTTTTTCTCTGTCTATGAAATTCGGTCACATTTAAACAAATCCACCATTTTCTTTGGTTCTTTCGGTAAAGTCACGTAGAATGAGAATATTGTGTTATTTTATTTTATCAATTTATTATTTTATTCTCATTCTACGTGACTTTACCGAAAGAACCAAAGAAGATGAATCATTGCAGTCACGAAAGCTTTAAATCGAAATCCACCATTTGTTTGAACTTCTCTTGCACCGTACGTAACCAACGGCTAGAATCGGAGCTGTGGGGGAAGGATTACAAACTAAACACTGCGGTTGTAAAAAAAAATATTTTTTGATCTAGATAATTTTAAAAGTACACGGCTTCCAGTGGCTTCCTATTATCGGAAGAGCGTTCCAGAAGGCCACAGACGCACATAGGGCGCGACGACTTATTCGTCTGAATGCAAAGCCATCTGAATAATCGATGGGTCTTCGTGTAAGCATCTGTATCATGTCCAAGCCATCATTCATCCACTGCTGGATTCTGGCATCCCCACCCTGCCACCACCTCTCAATGACAAGCAATGGAGGGTCGCGGAGGAATGCAGCGGATTGTTGGAACGCAGATCGCAGCGAAGCGCGCACAATGATGCCGTCATCAAAACAGAGGGGCTGGTGGGCAGTGGCCGAGACCAACACGAGTGGCAGCCAAAGGAGGGAAACGCCCAAGAGGACATCCACAAGAAATAATTCCATACGCACTGCCAAATAAGAGGTGGCGTTAAGGCGTTTAACTCTTATACAAAAAAAGCACATTTATTACCGAAAACAAAACGACTTCCATTTTAAGTTAAATTCATGAGGTGGTGAAGACGATTTCCTCTCACCCCACCCACCCCCCTCGCTTGCTCTGGCACCATCCAACATTCGTGGTGGTGGTGGGGGGGGGAGTCCGCTCAGTCTCCCTCGTCCGCCGCGGCCTCGTCAGCCGCTGCCTCTTCAGCCGCTCCCTCATCAGCCGCTGCCTCGTCAGTTGCCGGCTCGTCCCCGACGGAGCCGTCGGCGGGGCCCGTGTCCCCCTCGTCGCCCGCGTCTCTCCGCGGCGTCTCCTTGTCCTTCCTGCGCTGCTCCGAGGCCTCCTTGCGCCCCTTGAGGTCGCGTCTGTACGCTGGCCGTTGTGACGGAGAGAGCGAGAGAGTGGAAGGACGGGGTAAAGGCGCGTGGGCGAGTCCAAACGAGAGTCGGGGACGGAAGATACGACTGGCCCATGGGGTCGGTGACCACGTGCCCCCCGGCTTTTAACCGTTTAGTTTGTCGTTCTTCCCCCGCCCGCTCCGATTAGCGCGGTTAAAACTAAAAACTATACTATTTTACCAGGTAAGGTCCACGGATCTTCACAGTTCTTTCAGAAAGCGACTTGGCCAAATGATCGCTCAACGAAGCAGCTTATCGTTGGTAAATGTGCACGAGACAAACACTCTTTAAGCACGTGTTGATTCTAAATGTGGAGGGAACCTGGAGAAAAATCTACACGACTATGGGGGGGGGGTTGGGGAGAGAGAGAGGCAAACTCCAAATATAGGGGAGGCTTCAGGGTCAGGATTGAAGCCACGACCTGCATACCAGGCAAGGGAGTTAACATCTCGCCACCGCGGTTGGCTTGCGTACGGCGGAAAGTTCAGCAGACACGTACGTATGGGTTACACCTTCACAGGACTTTAAAAGCATTCCACAATTACTGATAAAAAAAACGATCGCGGTTACGTTAAAAATCAATTGCGTTGTAAAATCATACTCTTCGGTTATTTCGGTAAAGTCACGTAGGTAAAAATAATAAATGATAAAATCACGACGTTTCAGAGGCAACAAGCTTCCGCTATCAGGTGTAACTAGCACAGCAAAATTACTGTGAAGAGCTCTTCAACACAAGCTTCTGTTATCAGGAGTAACTAGCGAAGCAAAATTACTGTGAAGAGCTCTTCAACACAAGCTTCCGTTATCAGGTGTAACTAGCACAGCAAAATTACTGTGAAGAGCTCTTCAGCACAAGCTTCCGTTATCAGGTGTAACTAGCACAGCAAAATTACTGTGAAGAGCTCTTCAGCACAAGCTTCCGTTATCAGGTGTAACTAGCACAGCAAAATTACTGTGAAGAGCTCTTCACAGTAATTTTGCCGTGCTAGCTACACCTGATAACGGAAGCTTGTGTTGCCTCCGAAACGTCGTGATTTGATTTTTTTTAAATCTACGTGACTTTACCGAAAGAACCAAAGATTATGGATCATTGCAGTCATGAAACCAAATCTAGAAGTTGTAGAACCAATTATGTGAAATCGCGTTGCATGGAATGGCCCCGGTCCTCACCGTCCAGGCTCTCACGGAGCGGAGCCAGCAGCTGTTGGAACTCCATCTCCTCCACGGCGGACAGAACATCGTTCCCGCTCAGAGTTTTCCGCTTACTCTTCACCGCAAAGTTGTTGGCACTGTTTGCCAAGAGAGAGGTAGGAGGGGAGGTACAATATTAATCTTGATTTGAACCTTTCGTGACTGCAGGAATCCACACGCTTTGTTTATCTCGGTGAAGTCGCGTGGGTAGAAATAAAACGAATCACGACGTTTCGATGGCAACACAAGCAGTCTTCATCAGATGGAACAACCACAGCAAGAACATGCTGAAGACTGCTCGTGTTCCGATCGAATCGTCGTGATTTGTTTTATGTTATTTCTACCTACGTGACTTTACCGAAAGAACCAAACAGTATACAATATTACATTTATAAATGTGAAGATAATTTTACTGGGAGAGGCTCGCAGGTTTGTGTCTTTGTTTTTCTTTAAAATTGTGAGATGTTAACCGTCTCGCCTGGTATGGAGGAGGTCATGGGTTTCATCCCGACCCTGACGCCTGCTGTATATATGGAGTTTGCACGTTCAAAGTATTTGCCTGCTGCTATAAAATTTCACACGATGATAAGCCCACTTCGTTGAGCTATCATTAGTAGCCAGGTTGCTTCTGAAAAAAAAGCAACATAGCTCAGTGGGGACCTTGCCTGGTAGAATAAAAAAAGCAGTTTTAGTTTAAATGAAATCCGTTTATCGTCCACTGGATGTCTGACACAGAAGCGGTTGATTGAGTGGGTGGTTGAGCAAGAGAGTTTGGTTAGTGGGTAATAGAGTTAACAAGTTCTTGAGCGAATGAACGATTGGTTGAGTGAGCGATGTAGCGGCGAGAGGTGAATGTGAAAATGTGATTGAGTTGGAGCGTGGTTTGTGGGTGACCAAACAATGTAGTAAGCTGTTGAGCAAGTGAGTTGGTGAGTGGTTGCTAAGTAAGCTAGTGGGCGAGCAAATGGGCTGGTAAGTGATCGAGTGAGCGAGCGGTTTTAGAGCGAGTGGCGTGCAAGTGGTGACTGAGCGGTTCGTGAGTGGGTGGCGAGCAAGTGGTGAGCGAGCGTTTTGTGATTGAGTGGCGATGCGAGCGGTTTGTGAGTGAGTGGGGAGCAAGTGGTGAGCGAGCGATTTGTGAGTGAGTGGTGAGCGAGCGGTTTGAGAATGAATGGCGAGCGAGCGGTTTGAGAGCGAGTGGCAAACGGTTTGTGAGCGAGCGGTTTGTGAGCGAGTGGTTTGTGAGCGAGCGGTTTGTGAGCGAGCGGTTTGTGAGCGAGCGGTTTGTGAGCGAGCGGTTTGTGAGCGGTTTGTGAGCGAGCGGTTTGTGAGTGAGCGGTTTGTGAGCGAGTGGCGAGCGAGCGGTTTGTGAGCGGTTTGTGAGCGGTTTGTGAGCGAGCGGTTTGTGAGCGAGCGGTTGGTGAGCGAGCGGTTTGTGAGCGGTTTGTGAGCGAGCGGTTTGTGAGCGAGCAGTTTGTGAGCGAGCGGTTGGTGAGCGGTTTCTGAGCGAGCGGTTTGTGAGTGAGCGGTTTGTGAGCGAGTGGTTTGTGAGCGAGCGGTTTGTGAGCGAGCGGTTTGTGAGCGAGCGGTTGGTGAGCTAGCGGTTTGTGAGCGAGCAGTTTGTGAGCGAGCGGTTTGCGAGCGAGCGGTTTGCGAGCGAGCGGTTTGTGAGCGAGCGGTTTGCGAGCGAGTGCTGAGCGGCGGTGCACCAGGATGTGGCGTAGAGCACGAAGACACTGGCGGCGCGGGAGATGGCACTGCGCGCCTCCTTCGACACGTTCACGCCCTCGGGCAGCTGCGCACACCCAGGGCCCAAAAACAACAGCAGCAGCAGCAGCTGGCACTCGTCACTAAGTGGTGGTGACGTCACCAAGTACTTATATACAAGGACACCTCTACTTGTGAACATTCGACTTACGAACTTTCAGAGACGCGAGCAACCCTGTCCGTATGTCCAGTTGCCCGCTCTGAAGCCAGAGTCGTAAGTAAAATCGCCGCGCAATAGATGGCGGTGGTGGCATCTACATCTGCAGAACGTGAAGAACCAGTGGCAGATACATCTGCAGAACGTGAAGAACCAGTGGCAGATACATCTGCAGTACGTGAAGAACCAGTGGCATCTACATCTGCAGAACGTGAAGAACTAGTGGCATCTACATCTGCAGAACATGAAGAACCAGTGGCAGATACATCTGCAGAACGTGAAGAACCAGTGGCATCTACATTTGCAGAACGTGAAGAACCAGTGGCATCTACATCTGGAGAACGTGAAGAACCAGTGGCATCTACATCTACAGAACGTAAAGAACCAGTGGCATGTACATCTGCAGTACGTGAAGAACCAGTGGCATCTACATCTGCAGAACGTGAAGAACTAGTGGCATCTATATCTGCAGAACATGAAGAACCAGTGGCAGATACATCTGCAGAACGTGAAGAACCAGTGGCATCTACATTTGCAGAACGTGAAGAACCAGTGGCATCTACATCTGGAGAACGTGAAGAACCAGTGGCATCTACATCTACAGAACGTAAAGAACCAGTGGCATCTACATCTGCAGAACGTGAAGAACCAGTGGCATCTACATCTGCAGAACGTGAAGAACCAGTGGCATCTACATCTGCAGAACGTGAAGAACCAGTGGCATCTACATCTGCAGAACGTGAAGAACCGGTGGCATCTACATCTGCAGAACGTGAAGAACCAGTGGCATCAACATCTGCAGAACGTGAAGAACCAGTAACATCTACATCTGTAGAACGTGAAGAGCCAGTGGCATCTACATCTGCAGAACGTGAAGAACCAGTGGCATCTACATCTGTAAAACGTGAAGAACCAGTGGCATCTACATCTGCAGAACGTGAAGAACCAGTGGCAGATACATCTGCAGAACGTGAAGAACCAGTGGCATCTACATCTGTAGAACGTGAAGAACCAGTGGCATCTACATCTGCAGAACGTGAAGAACCAGTGGCAGATACATCTGCAGAATGTGAAGAACCAGTGGCAGATACATCTGCAGAACGTGAAGAACCAGTGGCATCTACATTTGCAGAACGTGAAGAACCAGTGGCATCTACATCTGGAGAACGTGAAGAACCAGTGGCATCTACATCTGCAGAACGTGAAGAACCAGTGGCATCTGCAGAACGTGAAGAACCAGTAACATCTGCAAAACGTGAAGAACCAGTGGCATTTACATCTGCAGAACGTGAAGAACCAGTGGCATCTACATCTGCAGAACGTGAAGAACCAGTGGCATCTACATCTGCAGAACGTGAAGAACCAGTGGCATCTACATCTACAGAACGTGAAGAACTAGTGGCATCTACATTTGCAGAACGTGAAGAACCAGTGGCATCTACATCTGCAGAACGTGAACAACCAGTGGCATCTACATCTGCAGAACCTGAATAACCAGTGGCATCTACATCTGCAGAACGTGAACAACCAGTGGCATCTACATCTGCAGAACGTGAACAACCAGTGGCATCTGCAGAACGTGAAGAACCAGTGGCATCTACATCTACAGAATGTGAAGAACTAGTGGCATCTACATTTGCAGAACGTGAAGAACCAGTGGCATCTACATCTGCAGAACGTGAACAACCAGTGGCATCTACATCTGCAGAACCTGAATAACCAGTGGCATCTACATCTGCAGAACGTGAACAACCAGTGGCATCTACATCTGCAGAACGTGAAGAACCAGTGGCATCTGCAGAACGTGAAGAACCAGTAACATCTACATCTGCAAAACGTGAAGAACCAGTGGCATCTACATCTGCAGAATGTGAAGAACCAGTGGCATCTACATCTGCAGAACGTGAAGAACCAGTGGCATCTACATCTGCAGAACGTGAAGAACCAGTGGCATCTACATCTGCAGAACGTGAAGAACCAGTGGCATCTACATCTACCAGTGGCATCTACGTCTACGGGAGATTACACAACTTTTAAAGCCATTCCCCGTGTTTAGTGTGCATGCTGTACAACACGTTTGGAATCGACAAAAGTAAAGTTGGACTAACGAACAAATCTACATACAAGCAGACCTCTGGAACCTAACTCGTTCGTAAGTAGAGGAGTCTCTGTATTTGAACTTATTTCGCATCGTACGTAGCCAACCGCGCTAATGAGTGGTTTGGGGGGGAAGCACAACAAACTGAACACAAAATGCAATTCTAAAGAAATTAGTTTGTCAATCTAGATGACGATTTAAAACTGCATAGCTCCAGTGGCTTCCTAATATGGGAAGAGCGTTCCAGACGGCCGCAGGAGCGCATCTAAAAGCGCCGCGCAACGATGTGGTGACCACCGTCTTTGTTCGATGGCCGAGCTAAAAGCCGCTGTTGCTGCGAGGATGACCGGAGGTTTGCGCGATAGTGGCTTATGGTCCGTAACGAGATCAGCAACAGGACATTGCAGTTGCATAAGAGTTCGACATCCATAGAGTTACACAGAGAGCCCCCGTAGCGTTACGTAGCTGATGTAAAAGTGCACCGAAGCTCCCAGTAGGCTTCCTAACATCGGGTTGCAGAGCGTTCCAGACGGCCGCGGGAGCGCATCCGAAAGCGCCGCCCGATGCAAACGATGACGTAGCGACCAGGGGTTCAAACGCCGCCAATGAAACAGGCCCAAGCGGACGGCGTGTTTCTCACCGCGTCCTTGATGATCCGTGTGATGACCGCATTTGGCAAGTTCAGGTCCTCAGGTCTCTCTGCCATGCTGGGAACCTGCGTGCGTACACACAACGACAAAATATCCGCCACCCCCCACCCCCGTGTAGCGTTAACAGGCTGCCGCCGGGGGCAAGCGTTGTTGGCCAGCGGCACTTGCGAAGGCCAGGACGCAACACGAGGGGGTGGGTGGCTAACACCACGCCCGACCGCCTTTGTCTCCCCAGTGACGACGTTCACTACACACCACACCAGGTACTCATTTTAGGCCGAGCAGACCTCGGGGAAAAGAGGCGCAGGAACGAATCGGACAATCGTCACTTGGTGTTGGCCGTGAGCGGGAATGGAAGTTGGGAGTCTCTGCCGGGTTCGTAGCGCAGCTCCCTAACCGCCGCTCCACCGCTCCCCAACCGCTGCCCCACCGCTCCCTAACCGCCGCTCCCCAACCGCTTCCCAACCGCCGCCCCACCGCTCCCCAACCGCTGCCCCACCGCTCCCTAACCACCGCTCCACCGCTCCCCAACCGCCGCCCCACCGCTCCCTATCCGCCGCTCCCTAACCGCCGCTCCCCAACCGCCGCTCCACCGCTCCCCAACCGCCGCTCCACCGCTCTCCAACTGCCGCTCCACCGCTCCCTATCCGCCGCTCCACCGCTCCCTAACCGCCGCCCCACCGCTCCCCAACCGCCGCTCCACCGCTCCCCAACCGCCGCTCCCCAACCGCCGCTCCACCGCTCCCTAACCGCCGCTCCCAACCGCTGCTCCACCGCTCCCTAACCGCCGCGCCACCGCTCCCTAACCGCCGCTCCACCGCTCCCTATCCGCCGCTCCACCGCTCCCCAACCGCCGCTCCACCGCTCCCTATCCGCCGCTCCACCGCTCCCTAACCGCCGCTCCCAACCGCTGCTCCACCGCTCCCTAACCGCCGCTCCCTAACCGCCGCTCCACCGCTCCCTAACCGCCGCCCCACTGCTCCCTAACCGCCGCTCCACCGCTCCCCAACCGCCGCTCCACCGCTCCCTATCCGCCGCTCCCTAACCGCCGCTCCCAACCGCTGCTCCACCGCTCCCTAACCGCCGCGCCACCGCTCCCTAACCGCCGCTCCCTAACCGCCGCTCCACCGCTCCCTAACCGCCGCTCCACCGCTCCCTATCCGCCGCTCCACCGCTCCCCAACCGCCGCTCCACCGCTCCCTATCCGCCGCTCCACCGCTCCCTAACCGCCGCTCCCAACCGCTGCTCCACCGCTCCCTAACCGCCGCTCCACCGCTCCCTAACCGCCGCTCCCTAACCGCCGCTCCACCGCTCCCTATCCGCCGCTCCACCGCTCCCCAACCGCCGCTCCACCGCTCCCTATCCGCCGCTCCCTAACCGCCGCTCCCAACCGCTGCTCCACCGCTCCCTAACCGCCGCGCCACCGCTCCCTAACCGCCGCTCCCTAACCGCCGCTCCACCGCTCCCTATCCGCCGCTCCACCGCTCCCCAACCGCCGCTCCACCGCTCCCTATCCGCCGCTCCACCGCTCCCTAACCGCCGCTCCCAACCGCTGCTCCACCGCTCCCTAACCGCCGCTCCACCGCTCCCTAACCGCCGCCCCACTGCTCCCTAACCGCCGCTCCACCGCTCCCCAACCGCCGCTCCACCGCTCCCTATCCGCCGCTCCACCGCTCCCTAACCGCCGCTCCCCGACCGCTGCTCCACCGCTCCCCAACCGCCGCTCCACCGCTCCCCAACCGCCGCTCCACCGCTCCCTAACCGCCGCTCCCCAACCGCCGCTCCACCGCTCCCTAACCGCGGCTCCCCAACCGCTGCCCCACCGCTCCCTAACCGCTGCTCCATCGCTCCCTAACCGCTGCCCCACCGCTCCCCAACCGCCGCTCCACCGCTCCCCCACACACAAAGACAAAGCCCCCCCCGCCCCACACAGCCTTCGCAGGCTGTCGGGGGGCAAGTGCTGCTAGCGAGCAACATCGCTCGCTAGGCTGGAGGAATGAGGCCAACATAAACATGTTTTTTTTTTAAACGGAATTTCCCAAAATCGAGGCTTAACCATTTGCTTAGCTTCCCGAGTTTGTGGGATACCGAACGTGGAGCGATAAAGCACCAGTGGCGGGTGGTTGTTGTGAGTGCGGTGGAGCGCTGTGCCACACACAAACAAGGCCCCGGGGACCACAAAGTGCACACAGATTTTGAGAGAGAGGGAGGAAAAAAAATGTTACCAGGTCAAGGCCCACTTACCGAACCGCATTTTGTATAGATAGTTTATTCGGAAGCGACCTTGCCTCTCACAAATGATAGCTCGACCAAGTCGCTTCGCATCATCATCATCATCGCCGCGTGGGAATGTATAGCAATAACTCTTACACGCGTGGTGATTATTGATTATAAATGTGGAGGGAAAATAACTGTAGGACTCCCCATAACAATCCACGCAACCACGGGGTGAGAGAGAGACACCGCAAACTCCAAATATACAGCGGCAGGTGTCAGGGTTGTGATCAAACCCACGACCTCCTGTACACCAGGCGAGGTAGTTAACATCTCATAGCCACCGTGATGATGATGAGAGAGAGACACACAAACTCCAAATATACAGCAGCAGCAGCTGCAGGCATCAGAGTTGGGATCAAACCCATCGCGAAGTTCTGTATCGGGGCTGCAGCGCTCTCACCACGAAGGGCGACAGCGACGTTCGTTTCAGTCGTGGGAATCGTTAAGAATCCTTGCAGTCACGAAAGCTTCAAATCTAGAATAAAAGTAAAATGTTCTTAAGAGAAAACAAAAATTTACCTCACGTCGATTCACGTCACCCAACGCGCGGGAAAACCACACGTGGGTGACCTCTGACCCCTCCTCCTTTACATCCGGTTTACAAAAACTATAGATTACGTTAAATACATGTTTTGCGTTTTACGAGGCTTTGTTCGATGTTTTACTGGAGATTAGGTTACCAAGAATTGGTCAACAATTTTTTTTATTTGGTTTTAATGGTTCGTTCGTTTCTATTGTTCGCTCCTGAGCAAGCGATCGACGTATACGCACTACGTTTTACAATCTGGAAACGAGCATCAAATTCATACATCGCATAGGCATGCGAGCGCCTCGCGTGTGATTGGTTAAAGTAAAGGCACGTGTGATTGGTTCTAGATCTTCCAGAAGTGGTAGAAGTCGACGTACCTTCTACCATCTTCCGGAAGATATATACGTCTTCTGGAAGATTGCTACTTACTTTGGAATAATTTGTATAATTTTCTGGAAAAATCTACATCTTCCGGAAGATTACTACTCACTCGGTATAATTTGTATCATCTTCCGGAAAACCTACATCTTCCGGAAGATCACTAATTACTCCGGGGAGATTAAAATAATATTTTGGAAGATATCTACCTCTTCCGGAAGACTGCTACCTATCACGGGATGATTCGTGACAACTTCCGGAAGAGGTAGATGTCAATCGACACGTCTACCTCTTCCGGCAGAATTCCAACAACAACAAAAAACGGAGAATGTTTCATTTTGATTTTAAAGCTTTCGTGACTGCAGGGATTTCCTATTCTTGGTTCTTTCGGTAAAGTCACCACCGCGTAGAAGGGAAACAATAAAATAATAAAAATATAAAACAATAAAATTATCATCGACGTTTCGACTGCAACACAAGCAATCATCATCAGGTTGTGAAAAACCACAGCAAAGAAAATGTAAAAAAGTGGCGTCTTTTTTTAAAATAAGTTTCCCTTCTACGTGACTTTACAGAAAGAAACCAAGAATAGGAGAATGTTTCGTTAGCGTCTTCCGGAAGCCAAACCCACGCGCATGCGCACTGGAGCCCTAACAGAAGCCCACCCCCCCCCACCCGGTTACTATAGGGAGGTGAGTTGGGTGCGTTCGGCTTTGGCGTTGAGGGGGGTTTTTTAAAAATAATAAATATTTACGCGAGATATAAAACTAAAATTACTACTTTAGCCGTCTAACCGTCGCGTTTCGTGTGCGTCGAGACGAACTCGCGGTCGCGTTTCCGAAAGGTGAATAATTCCACCCCTCAACCTCGTCCCCGTCGACGCAGCCGCTAGGAAAAGCCTGCGATAGGCCTCACGCGCTATAATAAAAAAAAATATCTATAAAGATTTTCTTTAAAACAATTAAATTTCTCCCCTTTTTCTCTCTCTCTCGCTCCCTCGCCAAATTACGATATTCTAGTGTACAACGGCGGACAAGCGTCACTGCCTCCCGATCAACAGCGCTATAGACGTCGCAGGCTCGTGAGAGACGGTGGTGGTGGAGGCCTCAATCCAGCAGTGGATTGATCACGGCTGACGATTAACAACCGCGTTTAAAAGCCGGGGTGGGATAAAATTAAGTACCGTTTTGCGTACTGTAGAGAATGGTTACTCTCTGGATGGACTGCCCCCCCCCCCCCATTGTAACGTGTAATTTACACGAGTGACTGGATACCGCTGTTAACACAATACTGAAATCGTGTAAATGAATACGATTTTTTTTAGCTCTTTCGATTTAGTAACTTACGGGCACTTTTTGCCGATCCATTGCCGAGTGAAAACCTTACAAGCGCCGTGTCGGTTATGGGGGTTGAATGGCCATACTTCACCACTTTGGTCAGTGGAGGTGGGGGAGAGTTAGGGACGGGATCAGATGCCACTCGCGTGCCACGAACTTTAGCCGTGGCTGGGAATCGAACGTAGGTCCATTGGGTTTGTGGCGTAGTGCGCCAACCACTCCCCGTCACCTACATAATGCTGTACCATGTGAATGTGTGACTATGCACACACTACACTGAATCACGGTTGTAATGCACATTACGTTGTGCAAGACACACACACGAGACATTTGCTTGTTCACATTCACCTACCCACCAGCTTTCTCACTCATTCACCCAATTCCTAACACGCACAAACAATAAGAACCTTAAGAATACCTTCGTTTAGCTCTGAGCGTATGTTATTACACCTGGGTGTCGTATTTGTGTTTATCTGTGTTTGTGCATTTGTATACTGTATATAAAAAAGTGTGTCTCTAATTGTATATGTGGCACCCACGGTGGCGAGATGTTAAATAGCTCACCTGGTATACAGGGGGTCGTGGGTTTCGAGTTTGCATGTTCTCCCCGTGGTCGCGTGGATTTTTTCTCCGCGTTCCCCCGGTTCTTGACTGCTGTACATTTCCACGCGACGATGACTTAAAGCCCACTTCGTTGAGCTATCATTTCTGATATAGCCAGGGGTCGCTTCTGAAAAAAATAGTTGCACAGCAGCTCGGGTGGGGGCATTACCTGCTAAGATAAAACTGATTTGTATGTCTGCGTGTTTGTGTGTGTGTGCGGTTACGCAGGCAAAATGAGTAGCTCTGAAGAAGTGTCGTGGATCTCCTGGTTCTGTGGGCTGCGAGGAAATGAGTTTTTCTGCGAGGTAATGCCGACGCCACGTGAGGATCACGCGGGTTATTTGACCTCGCTTCGGGTTTACTGAAGGTGTGGGACGTACGCACGGGAGCGTAGATGCGCAGTACGATTGAATGGGGGTTTTGATGTAAAGCGTACGTTGCTGGAGCCGAGTGTGTGCGGAGAAGTTCAACAAACGTACATACATTCTGAAAAAGAGCTCTAGCTCAGTGGGACCTTATGTCGTAAGATAAAACATAGTTTAGTTTTCGTTAAGATAAAAATTGTTCAATTTTATTTGGATATTTTTTCAAAATGATTCATTTGCATTTCCCATACTTTGCACTCCTGTCGTGGTTTTATATTGTTCGTTGTTGTTACCTTCTGACCCCTGCCTACCTTTACCGGGCATCTGTGAAAAAAAGAGCTTTACAGCTCATCGTATTCCTCCTGTAGTAGAAACAAATATTCTGATTCTCATATTCTGACGTGTCCCCCCCCCCCCCACCTCCCTCTCTCCGCCCACAGGTAGACGAAGACTACATCCAGGACAAGTTCAATCTGACGGGTCTCAACGAGCAGGTTCCTCACTACCGCCAAGCGCTCGACATGATCCTCGACCTGGAGCCAGGTCAGGCTTACGGCCGCTGTGATGCGTTTCGACCGCGCATGCCAGGCTTCCCCGTGCTCGCCGCTTTCCGACGCGAGTCAGAGCGTGTTCGTTCATCGGCTCTGTCCGTCGCTCTGTAAACGAGGGAGCGTCGCACGAGGCGTTTTGAATGCCTATTGCGATTTCCTTGCAGCGCCCTCACTGGGTCCGTCTCCTCGCACGTTTTACGCATTCGCTCGGTCCGCCTCTTTATTCGTGTGCGCATCGATGTGCGAGTTTTCTCGTGGTGTGTCTACGTGTGTGCACGCGCGTATATGTGTTTGTGTGTGCGCGCATGAACGTATTGTGGCGGAATTGTGGGCGTTGCATGTGGCTTGCCTGTGAGTTGTTGTGCACGTTTGTGTACGCGCGTGTAAATTATTGTGCGCGCGTGTTGATGTATTGTGCGTGTGTGTGTGGGGAACGGTAGTGCAGCGGTGAGCGCCTTGCGCTATGAACCCGGTGTCCTGAGTTCGATTTCCGCTCATGGGCAACGCCCGGTGACAATGATCTGAACTAGTCCTGCGCCACGAGGTCGATTGGGCCTCAAATGAGTGCCTTGCGTGGTGTGCAAACATCGACACTGGGGAGACAAAGGTGGTCAGGCATGATGCCACCCACCCCCTCGGCCTTCATAGGCGTTACTCGCTAACAGCACTTGCCCCAACAGTCTGTTGAAGCTATACGGGGGATCTTTGTGCGTGTGTCACAGACGATGAGCTGGAGGACAACCCCAATCAGAGCGACCTCATTGAGCAGGCTGCTGAGATGCTGTACGGCCTCATCCACGCGCGCTACATCCTCACCAACCGTGGCATTGCACAGATGGTAACCGCTCACCACGCACACACTCACCGTGTGGGGAGATCCTCAAGAGGGGTTTAGGGGTGTTCAGCCTTCTCTCATCTCACTCTACTTCCATTCATGCTCTCTCTTACCTCTCCCCTCTCATCTCACTGCACTACCCTCCACGCACTCTCCTACCTCTCATCTCACTCTACTCCCCTCCATGCTCTCTCCTGCCTCTCCTCTCTCATCTCACTCCACTCCCCTCCATGCTCTCTCCTACCTCTCCCCTCTCATCTCACTCTACTCTCCTCCACTCTCTCCCCTACCTCTCCCCTCTCATCTCACTCTACTCTCCTCCACGCTCTCCCCTACCTCTCCCCTCTCATCTCACTCTACTCCCCTCCACGCTCTCTCCTACCTCTCCCCTCTCATCTCACTCCACTCCCCTCCACGCTCTCCCCTACCTCTCCCCTCTCATCTCACTCTACTCTCCTCCACGCTCTCCCCTACCTCTCCCCTCTCATCTCACTCTACTCCCCTCCACGCTCTCTCCTACCTCTCCCCTCTCATCTCACTCCACTCCCCTCCTCTACCTCTCCCCTCTCATCTCACTCTACTCTCCTCCACGCTCTCCCCTACCTCTCCCCTCTCATCTTACTCCACTCCCCTCCACGCTCTCCCCTACCTCTCCCCTCTCAACTCACTTTACTCTCCTACACGCACTCTCCTGCCTTTCGCCTCTGACCTCACACCACTCTAATCACATTTAGATGCTACTTAAATCCACATCCAAATTGCGTCATAAGGACTCGCACAGACATCTGCAGACTGACATAGAGATGCAGACTCACATAGATACCCACAGACACATACACGTAGACTCGCATAGACTCGTATGGAGATCCACAGACTCGCACAGACCCATAGACTCAGATTGAGATCTGTGGACTCACAAAGAGACCCGCATTCTCACATCGAGATCTATAACTCCTCTCTATAGCAGTGTCCTTCATTTATTTTCAGAGGGGGGGTGGCAATTTTCACCGATAAGGACCTCATCAGTGTGAGGAGGGCCGTCACACCATTTGAAACCATTGAGGGTTTGACAGCAACACGATGATGATGGGGGGGTGTTCTCACACTTTGTGTATCGTCATGAGGGGCTGCACGTCAGGGGCTGCACTAAAGGCCACCAGGCGGCTGCCAGTGGCCCGCCGGGGCCTTGTGATGAAGACCGCCGCTCTCTTTGACGTAAACACGTCCACTGTTTAAGGCCTCTTGAGATTTGGCCGCGTTTGCTCGTTGTACAAAACCACTCTGTGTTGTCTTGCCCCCTCTCGTCTTTGTCTTTAGCTTGTTGTCCTTCCCCCGCACCTCCGATTGGTGCGGTTGGTTACATACGGTGTGAAAAGTTCAACATACATAAAGACTGCTCATAGACTAACACTGCCCATAGACTCAACAATACCCATAAACTCAACACTACACATAGACTCAACACTGCCCATAGACTCAACACTGCCCATAGACTCAACACTACCCATAGACTCAACACTGCCCATAGACTCAATTCTGCCCATAAACTCAACACTACACATAGACTCAACACTGCCCATAGACTCAATTCTGCCCATAAACTCAACACTACACATAGACTCAACACTGCCCATAGACTCAACACTACCCATAGACTCAACACTGCCCATAGACTCAACACTGCCCATAAACTCAACACTACACATAAACTCAACACTGCCCATAGACTCAACACTGCTCATAGACTCAACACTGCCCATAAACTCAACACTACCCATAGACTAACACTGCCCATAGACTCAACATGACCCATAGACTCAGCACTGCCCATAGACTCAACACTGCCCATAGGCTCAACACTGCCCATAGACTCAACACTGCCCATAGACTCAACACTGCCCATAGACTCAACACTGCCCATAAACTCAACACTACACATAGACTCAACACTGCCCATAAACTCAACACTGCCCATAGACTCACACTGCCCATAAACTCAACACTACACATAAACTCAACACTGCCCATAGACTCAACACTGCCCATAGACTCAACACTGCCCATAAACTCAACACTACCCATAGACTAACACTGCCCATAGACTCAGCACTGCCCATAGACTCAGCACTGCCCATAGACTCAGCACTGCCCATAGACTCAACACTGCCCATAGACTCAACACTGTCCATAGACTCAACACTGCCCATAGACTCAACACTGCCCATAGACTCAACACTGCCCATAGACTCAACACTACCCATAGACTCAACACTGCCCATAGACTCAACACCGCACCTCCGATTCGCACGGTTGGCGACGTATGGTACAAACGAGGTTCAACGTACACACGTACATACGGACCCCTTGTTGCGCCTGTGTTGTTTTGTGCATCTGCGTAGCTCGAGAAGTACCAGCAGGGCGACTTTGGCCACTGCCCCCGCGTTTACTGCGAGAACCAGCCGATGCTGCCCATTGGTGAGACAGCCGCATGCACGCGCACGCCCGCACGCACGCACTCGCGACAGCAGCAGCCACTGGCGGTGACGTCACCACTGCGCTCGTGCCAGGCGCGGTGCGCTTTCAGGCCACGTGATGTTTCGATGGGCTCGCTGACAGGAGGTCACAGGGCAGAACCCAGGTGCCACGAGCTGACCGGGACGACTGGCCAATGCACCAGCAACTCTTTTCCCCACTCTGCCAAATCGCTGTGTTTTAGCCGCCCGGCAGTTCGCTCGTTTCCACCCTACGCTGTTGCTGGAGGGCGACCGTGGCTCCCTAATGACGGGAGGAAAAGAGCGTTCCAGACGGCCGCAGACGCGCAACTGTGAAAGCGCGGCGGTGCGGTGACCACCGCCTTTGTTCGGTGGCCAGCCGGAAGCTGCCACTGCTGCGAGGGTGACCGGAGTTGGCGCGATGATGGTTTATGCTTTTCTAGATTTGAACCTTTCGTGACTGCAGGGATCCATACTCTTTGGTTCTATTCGGCAAAGTGACTTTACCGAATCGAACCAAAGAGTGTGGTTTATGGCGCTTGACGAGGATCAGCAAGGTATCATCGATCGCTCAGTTGATTTGTGGCGGGCGCTTTGTGGGTGTTGCGCTCGCGCGCCTCTGCGTGCAACGGGCGCCGCGACCTCACCGGCGCAGCATTCGTTCGGCAACCGGAAGCCAACGGCAACTAGGCGAGCGCCGGACGGGCCGCGGTCGGATCTCGCCGTACCCCCGTCGTCGCGGCGCGTGCCGGGATAAACTTGGCGCGCGCGCGGGGGGGGGGGGAGGGGCTCGCCTCGATGGTTTTTTTTTTCCTGCCAGAACGTCGCCGTAGTGAGTGCGGCGAGAGAGTCGTAATAATAGACCCCTTTAAAAAAAGTTTTTTTTAAAGCAACAACAACTTGGTTGGTTTAACTCGCGGTCTTTGAGAAGTGCGTCAGTGGCGCCTGAGACACGCGGCGCCCGCGTTTTGCGCGAGCCGATTCCACAGTTCAGGGACCGCGGCGTTTTTGACCTGCGCAAATATATACGTGTAAATAATATGGCGTCCACACAAACTGTAAATTTTGATTTAAAGCTTTCGTGACTGCAGTGATTCATATTCTTGGTTCTTTCGGTAAAGTCACGTTGAAGGGAAACAATAAAATAATATATATAAAACAATAAAATTCTCACGACATTTCGACCGTAACGCAAACGGTCATCATCAGGTGTGAAAAACCAACGGCAAGAAACATTTGAAAGAAGTGGCGGTTCGCATTTATTTATTTATAAAACTTTAGCACCACGGAGAGCGATTTGGCAGTTTGTTTATAAGGACGAGTCCATCTATGTTCTGAAAAGAGGAGGGGGGAGACGAAAAATTAATGTATGCTGTCTGAAAGCCACCGTAAGCGTGAACAATCAATTAAGACCCGAAATGGTTTATCAAATCCTTCCAATGATTGCTAAGCCAGAATCCATCTTCTCGGTTGAAATTGTCTCTGTGTTTGTATATGTGGATAGCCTCATGAACGAATCTCTCATGGTAGCCCGATGCCTTGCAAAGAACCTCTGTCTTGGAGAAGTCAATGTCATGTGAGCCTACTGAATTAGAACAATGATCTGCCACGGCCGAGGTGTTGGTCCTACCGTGTTTAAGGTCTGCTTTGTGTTCACGAAGTGCGGTCCGAAACATGTCGTTTGGTTTCTCCAATGTAACTACGACCACAGAGGCAACTTAGTTTGTAGACACCAGGGTACTGTATGTCCGGAATCACATCTTTTACAGACGGAACCAGATCACGGATTGTTTGTAATGTGTTGAAACGTACCTGGATCTTGTGTTTATTCAAGATTTTGGAGATCTTTTTTTTGTGATCCCCGCTTTAAGGTAGCGAATTAATCGATTAATTGATGCCGATTTTGACAGAGGCATTGCATCGCCACCGGATCCGAGCACTGTGTGCAAAATGCCGAATTGATTGGACAACGAGAAGCGGACGAAATGTTGGATTACAAGATTCGGCCACGACAAACGAGAGGGGGGGAATCAAGTTGAGTGAAACCGTTGCATAATCGTGCCTCTCGCCGAAACCGAACCAGGTCTGTCGGATGTGCCGGGCGAGGCGATGGTCAAGCTGTACTGCCCCAAGTGCATGGACGTGTACACACCCAAGTCGTCGCGTCATCACCACACCGATGGAGCCTACTTTGGCACCGGATTCCCGCACATGCTTTTCATGGTGCACCCCGAGTACCGGCCCAAGCGCCCTGCGAACCAGTTCGTGCCGCGGTGAGTGGCTGCCCTTGATGAAACTTTTTTTATTTTTTTTATTGAAAGCTTTCGTAACTGCAGTAATTCATATTCTTAGCTCTTTCGGTAAAGTCACGTTGAAGGGAAACAATAAAATAATGAAATATATATGTATTTTTCGATCTGTATTGTATTATGATTGTTATTGGGATCAAACACCAAAATGGAATTTTTTTTGCACTTTTTGTACGCAGCACGGACGGGTGGTGCTTTTTCTGTAGGATTTAATTGTTTACGTACGTGGGGATGTTTAGATTTGTGTGCAATGAATTTTAGGCGTCTCTTGTAATTTTATTGTTTGTTGCGGTTGCACCCAAGTCAAGAGCCGATTGGCTCACAGGGTAAATCCTAAATAAATGAAACTGAAAAACTCAATAATCCCTATAGCTCAAGTGTTGGGGGGCCTTAACTGGCAAAAAATTATTTTATTATTTTATTGTTTCCCTTCAACGTGACTTTACCGAAAGAGCTAAGAATGTTATTTTTTTTATTTTTGCCAGGTAAGGCCCCCCAACACTTGAGCTATAGGGATTATTGAGTTTTTCAGTTTTATTTATTTAGGATTTACCCTGTGAGCCGTTAGGATATGACTTGGGTGCAACCGCAACAAACAATAAAATTACAAGAGACGCCTAAAATTAATTGTACACAAATCTAAACATCACCACGTACGTAAACAATAAAATCCTACAGAAAAAGCACCACCCGTCCGTGCTGCGTACAAAAAGTGCAAAAAATTCCATTTCCATGTTTGATCCCAATAACAATCATAATACAATACAGATCTAAACTTTAAGTATCTATACTAAATAAATAAAAATCGGGCCAAACCAAGCCCCTCTAAAACTTACTAAAACAATGCAATATAAACAACGTAACAGTTTTTCCAACAAATGTGATTACAAGTTTACAATAGCGACACACACAACACACATCACTAAACCTACGCGAGATGCATAAGTCAATCCATAACAGCCAGATTAACAATAGCAGTAGCAGCGCACTAATAAAAATACATAATAATTTCATACATCGGTCATTCAGCAACGACCTGACCATCACAAATGATAGATCAACGAAGTGGCTTATCATCATAATCATCATCGTTGTGTGGAAATGAATAGCAGACACATACTCGAAATATTATTTCACTATTTTTATTTTACCAGGTAAGGCCCACTGAGCTATATAGTACCTCCCTTTTCAGAAGTGACCTGGCTATCACAATTGATAGGTCATTTAGCAAATTGTAAATGTGGAGGGAAAAACCGGGGGAGAAAAATCCACGCGACCACGGGGAGAGAGAGAGACACGCAAACTCCAAATATACAGCAGCAGGTGTCAGGGTCGGGCTCGAACCCACGACCTCCTGTACACCAGGCGAGGTAGTTAACATCTCCTAGCCACCGTGATGATGAAAGAGAGAGATGCAAACTCCAAATATACAGCAGGCATCAGGGTCGCGATTGAACCCACGCCTCCTGCACACCAGGCGAGGTAGTTAACATCTAGCCACCGTGATGATTACAAGAGAGAGACACTGAAAATTCTAAATATACAGCAGCAGGCGTCAGGGTTGGGATCGAACCCCCACGACCTCCTGTACACCAGGCGAGGTAGTTAACATCTCCTAGCCACCGTGATGATGATGAGAGAGAGACACTGAAAATGCCAAATATACAGCAGCAGGCATCAGGGTCGGAATCGAACCCACGACCTCCTGTACACCAGGCGAGATAGTTAACATCTCATAGCCACCGTGATGATGATGAGAGAGAGAGACACGCAAACTCCAAATATACAGCAGCAGGCGGCAGGGTTAGGGATCGAACCCCCACGACCTCCTGTACACCAGGCGAGGTAGTTAACATCTCCTAGCCACCGTGGCTTGACCAATCGAGGGGTGATCGGTAAAAATCGGGGGAAGGGGTGGCGAGGAGGGAGGGAGGGATTCTTTGGCGTACCGGGAACCGATTGATTCCCGTCCCCTTTTCCTGCCGCCGCCACTCCTCTCTTTACCATCATCCTCTCATCATCACCATCATCCTCTCATCATCACCACCCTCTCATCGGGAGACGCTCATTATTCTTACATACGTTTGCCAGTACGTTCTACCATCTACGTCCGCGCTCCTTCGCGAGAGCCGCTATGCGGTGCGTTTAAATAGCCGCACGTGGTGGGTTAAAGATCCGCGTGCGGCTCAGGTGAGGAGGAACCGGTTGGCCACCTCTGGCGTGGATGTCTTTTGGGTGGAGAGGGGCGGGTTGACGTGAACACTTGTTGGTGCGTTTTTTTTCGCTTGCAGCCTCTACGGATTCAAGATCCACCCCATGGCCTACCAGCTGCAGCTGCAGGCCGCCGCCAACTTCAAAAGCCCAGTGAAGGCCCTGCGCTAAAATCACTGGCGCGGAGAAGACTCGACTATGTACACACACGCACGTACACGCACACGCACGTACACGCATGAACACACATGCGCACGTATGCACACGCACACCTCACCTGTATCCATGCACACGCATACACGTGTATGTGTGTGTGTGGACACATGCGCTTATGCATGCGTGCGTATATACATTTATGCATACGTTGATAAAAAACCTGCACGCACGAATATAGATATACACGACTGCACACACAGACACAGGTACGCATGTACGCGCGCGTGTGTGTATGCAACTGATGTATGCACGCACAAACGTGCGTATGGAGGGAAACATGCGCGCACGTACGTATCCTTGCACGCACGTACGCATACACGCGTACGCGCGTGCACAATCGCCACCCGCCACGCGCACATACGGAGACACACAGATAGCTGCGACTCCCAAAGTCCGCATTAGTTCGTTAACATTAAATCGTGAATGTTAAGGAGCTCTGGCAGAAACGTCGATGGTCAGCGTTTTGAGTCTGGCCTCTGGTGACCCCCTCCCCCCACGCAGATGAATGCAGTTTGAGTTTGGCGACCGATTGCACAAGAGAAAAAAAAAATTATAATGATAATCCACACTCCCAGCGAACGCTTCGGTGTTTTCATTACATTCGTCTTCGCGGGCGAACGCGCGCTCCCGCGTCGATTTCCACCCCGACGGAAGTCAGTCGTGGGTCCGATTCGTCCCGGACGTCCGGCCGCCTTTCGCTGAAACACTGAAGGGTGCGGTTACCGGGGCTGGTGGTGTTTGGGGGGGGGGGGTCCTCGGCGTTTCTCTGGCCGGTCGCAGACCGAATCCGAACGCCAGCGTGAATTTGATCCTTTGAAATGGGTAAACGTTTCCTCCCGTCGTTAGCCCCCCCCCCTCTTCGTGTTGAGTTAACGGCCCGCTGAAGCGGATAATGCGGAGCCACATGCGAGGTCTCTCACCCGCGTGACACGCCGGTGGTCTTGGATTTAATTTCGGGAGCCGGAAGCTGTGAATGTAGGCGAATTCACATTTGACGTGGTGGGGGATTTCTGCCCCCCATCCACCCCCCCTCCCTCCCCCACACGGAGTGCGGTTGACTGCGACCCGCCAGAGCGTCAACTCTCGCCGCTGGAGAAGGCCCGCGGGTTGTAACAGCTGTGTTTGGGGGGGCTGGGAACCCGGGTTTGAACCCAGGCTCACAACGGACTCCTCGGCTCTCACCTCTAAGCCATCAACACGCACCACAAACAGATCCCCTGTGTAGCCTTTACAGACTGTAGGGGCAAGTGCTGTTAGGGAGCACCTATGAAGGTCGGCATGGCACGCGAGAGGGTGGGTGGCCAGCACCACGCCGGACCGCCTTTGTCTCCCCCAGTGGCGATGTTTAAACTGCACCAGGTACTCATTTGAGGCTGAGTCGACCTAGGGGAGGCCCAGGACCGGTTCAGATAATTGTCACCGGTGTTGGCCGTGAGGGGGAATTGAACTCGGGTCTCCAGGTTCATAGCACAGCGCGCTAACCGCTACCCCACCCCACCACACACTAATTTAAAAGAAAACGAATACTTAGAAAAAACAATGACATTGGCTCTTCACTTATCAGGCACAAAAGATTAGAGAAAAAGAGTACGTCTATAGAAAGTTTAAGTTAACATTTAAATACAAAAAAAGGCAATGTGACACGCTGAAGATTGCTGTTGCAGACGCATGGCGTTTTCCAAGAGGGTTAATTCGTTTTTATTTTGCGGATGTTCTGTGTTTGTGAAATAAAATTCTTCCCGACAGCGTCGATTGCTGGATGCCCGATTGCTGTTATCTTAAAAGGAATGTTATACCGAGCCCCCTTTAACCAAGGCGCTTTACAAAGAATTAATAACGGTACAACAACAGCAACAACAGTCTGTGATGAATGTCATGGTAGGTGAGGTGAATGAAAAATAGGTGCGAGGAAGGAATGGGTGGTGAATCTGTGATGCGTCAATTCTGTAAACGTGATGACAGTAAATGATGAATGAATGGGTGCTAATGAGTGATAGACAATGATTATTATTCTGCCGGTAAATGATGAATGGATTGAATGAAAAGGGGCTAATGAGTGCCACAATGATAATTTGAAGAGGGAACAGTAATGGTGGTGGTTCGATGGGGGTGGGGGGGGGTGAGCTAGAGGGGTAACAGTGAGTGAGTCGTGAGTGAGGAGTGGAAACTTAAGCGAGTGAAGGTGACCGCTTGATGTGGAGGGGGAGGTTTGTTCCAGTGATGGGGCGAGGAGGAGGAGGAGGAGAGAGACAGCGTGGGGTGAGTACAAGGAGGTGAGGGCGTGGGGTGAGTACAAGGAGGAGGAGAGAGCGTGGGGTGAGTACAAGGAGGAGAGAGAGACTAGGGGTTGAGTACAAGGAGGAGAGCGTGGATTGAGCACAAGGAGGAGGAGTGTGGGGTGAGTACAAGGAGGAGGAGAGAGAGTGTGGGGTGAGTACAAGGAGGAGAGAGCGTGGGGTGAGTACAAGGAGGAGAGAGAGCGTGGGGTGAGTACAAGGAGGAGAGAGAGTGTGGGGTGAGTACAAGGAGGAGAGAGAGCGTGGGGTGAGTACAAGGAGGAGGAGTGTGGGGTGAGTACAAGGAGGAGAGAGTGTGGGGTGAGTACAAGGAGGAGGAGAGACTAGGGGGTGAGTACAAGGAGGAGGAGAGAGAGTGTGGGGTGAGTACAAGGAGGAGAGAGAGCGTGGGGTGAGTACAAGGAGGAGGAGTGTGGGGTGAGTACAAGGAGGAGAGTGTGGGGTGAGTACAAGGAGGAGGAGAGAGAGACTAGGGGGTGAGTACAAGGAGGAGGAGAGAGAGTGTGGGGTGAGTACAAGGAGGAGAGAGAGCGTGGGGTGAGTACAAGGAGGAGGAGTGTGGGGTGAGTACAAGGAGGAGAGAGAGTGTGGGGTGAGTACAAGGAGGAGAGAGAGCGTGGGGTGAGTACAAGGAGGAGAGAGAGCGTGGGGTGAGTACAAGGAGGAGGAGTGTGGGGTGAGTACAAGGAGGAGAGAGAGTGTGGGGTGAGTACAAGGAGGAGGAGAGAGAGACTAGGGGGTGAGTACAAGGAGGAGGAGAGTGTGGGGTGAGTACAAGGAGGAGAGAGAGCGTGGGGTGAGTACAAGGAGGAGTGTGGGGTGAGTACAAGGAGGAGGAGAGAGACTAGGGGTTGAGTACAAGGAGGAGGAGAGCGTGGATTGAGCACAAGGAGGAGGAGAGAGAGTGTGGGGTAAGTACAAGGAGGAGAGAGAGCGTGGGGTGAGTACAAGGAGGAGAGAGAGACTAGGGGTTGAGTACAAGGAGGAGAGCGTGGATTGAGCACAAGGAGGAGGAGTGTGGGGTGAGTACAAGGAGGAGGAGAGAGAGTGTGGGGTGAGTACAAGGAGGAGAGAGCGTGGGGTGAGTACAAGGAGGAGAGAGAGCGTGGGGTGAGTACAAGGAGGAGAGAGAGTGTGGGGTGAGTACAAGGAGGAGAGAGAGCGTGGGGTGAGTACAAGGAGGAGGAGTGTGGGGTGAGTACAAGGAGGAGAGAGTGTGGGGTGAGTACAAGGAGGAGGAGAGACTAGGGGGTGAGTACAAGGAGGAGGAGAGAGAGTGTGGGGTGAGTACAAGGAGGAGAGAGAGCGTGGGGTGAGTACAAGGAGGAGGAGTGTGGGGTGAGTACAAGGAGGAGAGAGAGTGTGGGGTGAGTACAAGGAGGAGAGAGAGCGTGGGGTGAGTACAAGGAGGAGAGAGAGCGTGGGGTGAGTACAAGGAGGAGGAGTGTGGGGTGAGTACAAGGAGGAGAGAGAGTGTGGGGTGAGTACAAGGAGGAGGAGAGAGAGACTAGGGGGTGAGTACAAGGAGGAGGAGAGTGTGGGGTGAGTACAAGGAGGAGAGAGAGCGTGGGGTGAGTACAAGGAGGAGTGTGGGGTGAGTACAAGGAGGAGGAGAGAGACTAGGGGTTGAGTACAAGGAGGAGGAGAGCGTGGATTGAGCACAAGGAGGAGGAGAGAGAGTGTGGGGTAAGTACAAGGAGGAGAGAGAGCGTGGGGTGAGTACAAGGAGGAGGAGAGAAGGTGGGGTGAGTACAAGGAGGAGAGAGAGACTAGGGGTTGAGTACAAGGAGGAGAGCGTGGATTGAGCATAAGGAAGAGAGCGTGGATTGAGCACAAGGAGGAGGAGAGAGAGAGCTGATTACGTTCTTCCAAAGATTGCTAAATTTGAGAGAGACAAAACACAGACATGTTGACACACAGACACAAGCAGAGAGAGAGACAGAGACACACAAGCAGAGAGAGACAGACACACAGACACACGAGGAGAGAGAGACACAGAGATTGTGTACACAGACTCTCTGTGTCTCTTTGTCTCTCTCAAATTTAGAAATCTCTGGAAGAACGTAATCAACCAGGTAAGGTGCTGATTGCTGTGTTAGCCGACTGTTGTATTGCATTGTATTTCTAAGTTCACTAGGTTTATTTTCTACCTGATGACGATTGCTTGTGTTGCAACCGAAACGTCGTATTCTATTATTTAATTTACTTTCTTTCTCCGCGACTTTACTACCGAAAGAACCAAAGATTAGTTTGTGGGGAATAATAACCATTTGCTGTACTTTGAGACATAGGCAATTGGAAAATAACACTACCCAGGAACAAACATAAAATTCTCACGACGTTTCGGCCACAACACAAGCAGCCGTCCCCCTAGGTCGAGAAACAGCTGTCGGAAAGACAGCGCTCCTGAGGACGGCTGCTTGTGTTGTGGCCGAAACGTCGTGAGAATTTTATTTTTATTACGTTTTATTTGTATTATTTTATTATTTCCCTTCTCCGTGACTTGACAGAAAGAACCAAGCAGATGAATCCCTGCAGTCACGAAAGCTTCAAATCGAAAAATAAATAACCGCTCTCTCGTATGCCGTAACAACAAAAACAAAATGAGGAATCGTTCTTGTTAAGAACACGAATTTATTAGTAGCGCGTAAGAAAAACAAACACAAAAAAAACCGCGTGCGATTGTGTAACAAAACGCTTTTTAAAAAAACGGAGCGGAGCGGGGAGGGGGGTTGTGGGGGAAAGGAGTCGATGGGAAGACGGACGAACGAGAGAACGCGCGTGGAGGAGGCAGGGGACGTTACAAAATAAACAACAAGTCTCCGTGGGTTTTTTTTGTTGCGAGCGACGCGGGGAGAGCCGCTCAACCAAATAAAGAGATTTGGCGAAAACGTTGAACCAGCGAAGGTGAAGAAAAAAAATATAATAAAACATTCCATTTTTTTTAAATACGCTAGAAAGCGCCGCACAAGAGCAATTAACAAATCAGGCGATTCGGAAAATGCCTTTAAAAAAAGAAAATGTTAAAGAAAATAATGTCAAAGTGTAAAAAAACAAAAAATTGTAGACTTCGTCACGAAAAAATGTCAACGAAATAAAGAAAAATGTAAAAAAAAAGTCAATGTATAAAGTGTCGAAAATTGTAAAAAAAAAAAATCAGTCAAAGTAATAAAGTAAAAAAAAGTAAAACACGTAAACATTTTTAAAAGAAAAAAAAATTCGTAAAAAAGTCTAATAAACAAATAATATGTAAAAAAAAAAGAAATTGAAACATTTGTTAAAAAAAAAATGTTTTTCGCAAAATCTATTTTTTTTCCTTTTTAAAAACGGGCCGTAACACTTTATTATCTCCCTTCGGGGGTTATTGTCGCCAATCCACGACCCCGCCGCCGAGGGGTCAAAGGCGCAGCCCCCTGCAATCGACGCAACACGAAGGCAAACCGTAAAGTGCAACAACTATAAAGGATTTCTAAATCGGCCTGCGCGGTCTCGACTTGCAAAAACGTGAGCGATTAAAACGTAGTATATCATATTATTTAACAAACAAAAAAACACAGCAACATCAGCTTCGTAGCGAAAATGTAATTCCATTTTTAGTCTATTGATCGGCAACAAGCCGGAGGGCCTTCTAAAACGATGGTTTAAACTTTAAATAAACAATTCCCGAGCGGCATTCGAACAATAAGGCAGGGGTCAAGGTAAAGGCGCATCCCCTGCAACTGCCAGCTCGCGGTGGCAGTGCCCGGTGTTTGTTACGCAAATCTCCGACGGGGGTTTGTGGGGTTGCCGCTGGCCGCGAGCGAGTCCGCACGGACGCCCGCGGGGGGTTCCCCACGCCGGTGGCTGTTGGATGCGGAGAATAAACTTACGGCGTCAACAACAACAACAACAACGAAAAACAACAGTGACGAACAACAGTGACGAACGACGCGACCGCCACTGCGTGGCCGAGCACGGTTGCGGTGAAGGCGGTTGTGAGCGTGGTTGCGGTGAGCTTATTTATGGTGAAGGCGGTTGCGGTGAAGGCGGTTGTGAGCGTGGTTGCGGCGAGCTTATGGTGAACGAGGTTGCGGTGAAGGCGGTTGGGTTGTGAACGTGGTTATGACGAACGTATTTACGGTGGACCGGGTTTGTGATGGTGAACGCGGTCGTGGTGGTGGTGGTGAACGTGATCGTGGTGGTGGTGAACGTGGTCGTGGTGGTGGTGAACGCGGTCGTTGTGGTGGTGAACGCGGTCGTTGTGGTGGTGAACGCGGTCGTGGTGGTGGTGAACGCGGTCGTGGTGGTGGTGAACGCGGTCGTGGTGGTGGTGAACGCGGTCGTGGTGGTGGTGAACGCGGTCGTGGTGGTGGTGAACGCGGTCGTGGTGGTGGTGAACGCGGTCGTGGTGGTGGTGAACGCGGTCGTGGTGGTGGTGAAGCCACGTCCGACGTTTCGCGACACGCGCTGGGAGCTCCTTCAGGAAGTGAATGTGGAATCCCTAAAGCCGTGCCCCATTCCTCCCGAGCCAAACTGTTCAGATGTTAACGCAGCTCCACTGCCAACCCCTCTCACCCCACTCAGAAGCTGTTTCGTATTTCTCGTACTGTTGAGTCGAGCAAGCATCGCAATTCATACTCTTTGGTTCTATTGGGTAAACTTATTTTCACATACGTGACTTTACCCAATAGAACCAAAGAGTATGGATCCTAGCAGTCAGAAAAGCTTTAAATCTAGCAACGCAATTCACCCGATTTTGCTTGAGCATTATTCATGATAAAAAAAAAACTCACGCTTAAAATTTCTGTCTCATAGATGTCTTTGTCCAATTGACAACGTTTTGACAAACACACATATATATAAAAAAAGCCTCGAGGTGACGCAGGAAAATCTTTTCGTGCCGGAAATTTCACCTCCCCCCCCCCCCCCCGCTTTTCAAAATCAAGAACGCTGCTGCGACCACCACTTCCGGTTCCTGAAGGTGCTCGCGGCACAAAACGACGGACGCCACCACGCACGGGAGGCGACGCCGAGTGACGAACACCGGGCTCAGCGTCGCCCCAAACACACAGGGGATGCAAACGCGGCCGCTCTGCGTGGAACGTCACAACCGCGTTGGGCTCAACACATCGCACACGGAGACCAAGATCCCCCCCGCGCAGCCTGTAGCAGACCGCTGCTAGCGAGTAGCGGCACCCGCCAAGGGCCCGCACGGGCACGCGAGGGGGGTGGGGTTGCCAGCAACCGCGCCCGGCCGCCTTTGTCTCCCCAGCAGCGACGTTTCGCTACACACCGCACCGGCTACTCGTCTGGGCCCGAGTCGACCTCGGGGGAGAGCCCAGGGATCGGCTCAAGACGATCGTCGCCGGCGTTGGTGGCCGTGAGCGGGAACCGAACTCGGGCCGCCGGGGTTCGTGGCGAGGCGCGCGGAACGCTGGACCGCCGCTCCCCGCAGACAACGCAAGGCGAAGATTCTCCCAAACCTGTAGCCTTGACAGACTGTGGGGGGGGCGGGGGGGGGGGGGGCAACGGTGCTGGCCACCCACCACCCCCCTCCCCTCGTGCGCCACACCAGTGCCGGCCTTCGTCAGTGCCGCTCCTCGCCCGAACGGGCAACACAAAGACACACGTACACACACAACACACACAAAAACACACACAAACACACACAAACACACGCACACACACGCACACAAACACGCGCACACACAAACACACACGCACACAAACACACACGCACACAAACACGCAAACAAACACACAAACGCGAGAGAACACGACGACAAAGGGGAGCCACGCAAAGGGGGCCAGCTGGCTACGGCGCACGACAGCATTGAAGCCCTCCGGCCAACGGGGGCCCCCCACCCCCACCCCCCACCCACCCGCGTGCTCTCTCCGTCACGCACTTCCAACCCCCCCAAGGCTCGCGCAAATAAATAAAAACACTGGAAGCCGCGCGGAGTTGCGCGTGTCCCCCAGTCTCGTGTGGGGGTGGAAACGAGGCGGGAAAAATGTTGGCGCAATAAGTTAAAAAGGGGGGGTTAAAAAAACAGGAAATCGCTTGGCGGGAAGGGCCTCCCCCCCACCCCCCCCACTCGAAGGTGGTGTTTGGCCTACTCTTCCAAGACCGGGCAGACGTGGTTTGGACGAGGTGGGGGAGGGGGGGGATCTAAGCGGTCCCCCCCCCCCCCCCGTGCCACCTCTACTCCACCGACCGCGGCTTAAAGTCAATAAATAAATACAAAATCGCTCCTGAACGTCGCGCAACGCGGTTCAACGTACAAAGATTCCACCCCGTGTAGCCTTAGCGGACTGTCGGGGCAAGTGCTGTCAGCGAGTAGCGAGCACCGATGAAGGCTTGGAACGGCACGCGACGGGGGTGGGTGGGCCAGCGCCGCTTCCGACCGCCTTTGTCTCTCCCAGTGGCGATGTTTACACACCGCACCAGGTACTCGTTCGAGGCCCCGAGTCGGCCCAGGACCGGTTCGAATAACCGCGAACGGGAATCTAACTCGGGTGGACCGGGTTTGCAGCGCGTGGGAAGCCTCGGTGCCGACAAAATTCACTTCATGTTCCGTTTCCGTCACGGGTTGCGTCACCGACCGTCGTCGCAACGGTTGAAAGCGATGATCCTCGCGGTTATTCGGAGTCGGGAGATGTTTACACCGGGGGGGCGGGAGGCGAAGGCCTCTCCCCACCCCCCGCGTCCGTGACGGCGTCTCCGATCGTTGGCGGGGGTTTCGCTTGACCGCACACCTTCACGCCGGACGGGGGTTTGTGTCGACGGGTCCGAATCTCGGAATTGGCTGATCCGTTTCTGCGAGTGGAACGAACGAACCAACGAACCAACAAACAAAAGCCTGACCTGCGTGCGTCCGACACTAAACTGCACGACACCCGGCCACCCCTGCGTCTTCGCGAACAAAAAAGGCACGAGTCGTTTTGGACGACGGCGGATTTTACCGACGCGGAACCGCAACCTCTACCGTCCCCGTCCCCGTCTCCGTCCCCGTCCCGATCGGTCCACGCTCGGCGCCAAAGGGAGAACTCGACGGGCGGCAACGACGTGCGGAGAGAGAGCGGCGGCGAGGGACGCGGGAGGATCGGGGCGGGCGGCTTTTGGGCGTTCTGCGTAGAACGCGGTACAAGATTGACGATTGTGGTGGTGGTGGTAGTTGGTGGTAGTGGTGGTAGTAGGGCCCGGGGGCGGGCCCCCCCCCCCCCACCTCACCCCCCACCTCACCCCTCGCCGAGTCAAACCCCCGACTCGGAATCGAACCTACGCGTTTCCGATAGCGAGCAAAACGTTCCAAGCACAGTGTAAAAAAAATATTATTGCTGTTATTCTGGAAGATAAATAAATAAATGGCACCACAACGCAGGCTGTGGGCCCCTTCAGCCAATCCACTGCTGGGTGAGGGCCTCCCCACACCGTGCGAGTCTGGGGGGGGGGGGGGGGCGGATATTTGACCATACTTCACCACAATGGTCAGTGCGGGCCAGTTAAGGTGTGGGAGCATAGGACGGGAGAGGCATAAAGCAGCACTATTAATGTGGCTAGCACTGCCCTCTATCGTCCGCTAATGTAACCCCAAAGCCTATAGCACCTGTGATGCTGGGTGGTCCACCCATCCAAAGCACTATCCAGACTCTAAAACTAAACGAGACATTTTTTTTGCTATTTAATTTTTACCAGCTAAGGCCCCACTGGGCCACAACGTCGTCTTCGGGAAAGGCGACCCTTGCTATAACAAACGTCAGCTCAACGAAGCTGTGGCTCATCGTCATCGTCGCGTGGAAATGTTTAGCGGTCGCCAAACACTCTGAGCGCGTCGTGACGTCGATTCTAAAACGTGGAAGGGGGAAGAAAAAAAAACGGAGGACCCGGAAAAAAAAATCCACGCGAGCACGGGAAGAGAGAGAGGGAGAGACACGCAAACTCCAAATATACAGCAGCAGCAGGAGGCGTCAGGAGTCCGGGATCGAACCCAAAACCTCAGTGGGCCTTACCTGGTCAAATTAAAAGCAGTTCAGTTTTAGTTTCACAGTAAAATTACCGAGCATGCTCACTCAACTCACAACCTCCCCCCCCACCCCCCTGCCGCCCTCCTTCCATCAAAAATCACGTACAGTATTTTTGCATAAAACATCATCATCGCGATAACAGGAAAACCAAGAACATTTACAAACGTGTGCACGCTGCGGGAGTTTCTTCAGGAAATCAACTGTTGCGTGTGAGTCGGTGCGTGAGTCAGTGCGTGAGTCTGTGTGTGAATCGGTGTGTGAATCGGTGCGTGAGTCGGTGTGTGAATCGGTGTGTGAATCAGTGCGAGCGAATGAGTTGAGCGAGTGACTGGGTGAAACGGTGAATGAGTAAGAAGAGCATGCGTTTGTGTGTGTGTGTGCGTGTGTGAAAGTGTGTGAGTGAGTTTGCAAGTGAGCGTGTGAACGGTGAGCGGGTGAGCGCGCGTGTGAAAAAGAGTGTGTGGATTGAGAGGAGAGCGAGCGAGTAGGTGTTGAGAGGGAGTGTGTACACGAGTGTGCAGGGGAGTGTTAGACTTGGCGAGCGGGTGTGTCAGACACTGCAGCGAGTGAACGAGTGCGCGCCAACGGCTACGCGGCCGGATATGGGTTCGGTCCTTGCACTGCATTATGGGACGCAACTGGCACAATTGACGCTACATAAAATGAAAGCGTTACTACTACTACTATTATTACTAACCGATTTCCTGAAGGTGCGCTCCCAGGACGTGCGGGGCGAAACGTCTGACGCGGCAAAGGCGAGCGGCACGCGTTACACGAGCGGCACGCGATAAGGTCGGAGGCGACCGTCGCCGAGGCTCGTCGAAGCGGGAAACTTTCGGCAGCCGCGTCGGGCGGCGTGGGTCGGGGAGACCTCCGTGAACTCGCCGCCAATTTGGCAAAAAGTGAAATTAAATTAAATTATGCAACCGCGTAAATTTGTCGCCGCCGCTCGCCGTGGCGACGTGATTACAATCACGGCGCCTCGGTTTAGTATCGTTACGTTTTCTGGGTTTTAACGCTGTCGCGACAAAGGCCGGCGATTTAAAAATCGGATTAAAACAAAAAAACGAAAATCAAAAACGAGACGGGCGACGCGGAATTCGGCAGGCTCGCCGCAGAACCGTTCTGCGCGTTCGTCCGCCGCGCCGCGCGTACGAGCGTTCGTACGTACGCGCGTCCCCTGCGTATGTTCGCGCGTGTGCGTTTGTACGTACGCACGCACGCGCTGTGTACGTCTGAGCGTACGTGCGTTCGTTCCGTACGTGCGTTCGTTTGCGCGTGTCCGTTCGTCCGTACGCGCGGTGCCCACGTCCGCACGCGCGTCCGTTGCGAGCGAGAGACGCAACCGACTTCGGGAGTCAACTTCCCCGATCTTCTCGTTCCGACAGCTCGTCCCGGAAGAATGATCTTGTCGCTTGAAAGCAGCCGGCCGGCTGTGGCTCCAGAGCCCCGCCAACCCCCACGCCAACGGATCGGGCGAAAAGAACCACGAGGAGTGGACACGTCGCCGCGCCTGGGATGACGAGGTTGGGCACCTTTCCTTCTGCTGCGACGAGGTTTCGGCGGCGGGTTTGGTCGGAGACCGCGGGCGCCGGGAGTCGTGGGCAGCCCCCCCCCCCCCCCTCAGCTGCAGGCTGCCGGCGACTGCGAGACCGCATTTCGTTCCGTCACGAAGCTGTACTCGTACTGGGAAGGGAGAGCGAGCGAGGGAGCGAGGGAGGGACAACGCAGGGAGAGGGAGAGGTGGGATACGGTGGAAGAGGTGAGACTTTATACGGGAGATGTGGGTGACATGGTCAGTGTGGTACCACAGTGGTGAGCTGTTAACCACCTCCCCTGGTATACAGGAGGCCGTCGGTTCATTACAGATCCTGATGCCTGCTGTACAACAGGGTGCTTCAAAAAAAAAACGTTGACACTTCGGAGAATTTGCAACGCCACAAGAAAGATTCCAGGCAACGTGTTGACAACAATGGCGAACAAGTGGGAGAGACTCTGACTTTGTGAAGCTGCTAACATTACATTTGCTATCATGTCACAGTGCAACATCATCCGTTCTTTTTCCATTAAAAACGATAGTCCCGTGTCATTGTAAACATTTTTTGTTCGAAGCGACCTGCAATATCTGCGATGATGCATGTTCTCCGTTTGGGTCGCGTGGATTTTTCTCCGGGGCCTCCGGCTTTTTCCCTCCACGTTGAGAACGAACGTCGCCCGTTCAGTGTATTTGGCTGCTGTGCATTTCCACACGACGATGATGATGATGATGATGACGGCGGCGACGATGATGGCGACGACGACGGAGCCCACTTCGTTGCGCTATCATTTGTGATCGCCAGGGTGGCATGTGATAAATGTAGCAGCTCAGTGGGGCCCTGACCTGGTTGAGTAAAACAAAATTCACACTTTCCGTTTCACTGGCAGGGCGTCACCGCAGTGGAGATGCTTGTCTGCCCCGCGTCTGAAGGCGCCTGGGTTCGACAGCCTGTCCGAGTGGCGTTTGCACGTGCAGTAAAACCTTGGATTGCGAGCATAATTCGCTCCGGAAACGTGTTTGTAATCCAAAGCACTCGTATATCAAAGCGCTCGTATATCAATTCTAGATTTGAAGCTGTCGTGACTGCAAGGGTCCATACTCTTTGGTTCTATTCGGTAAAGTCACGTAGGTGAAGAAATAAAACAACAAAAATCACGGCGTTTCGGCCACAACACAAGTGGCCTTCATCAGGTGAAGGGACCGTGCCGTCACGAGGACAGCGTTGGAGTGAAGACAGCCAAGCCCAGGTCGCGTCCTTTAAGCTGTGTGGGAGGAAACCAAACGCTTTGACAAAGGAATTAGCATAAAATGCTCCTCCCACACAGCTTAAAGGTCGCGACCTGGGCTTCCCTGTCTTCATTCCAACGCTGTCCTCGTGACAGCACGGTCCCTTCACCTGATGAAGACCACTTGTGTTGTGGCCGAAACGCCGTGATTTTTGTTGTTTTATCTTTTCACCTACGTGACTTTACCGAATAGAACCAAAGAGTACACTCGTTATATCAGTTGTGATCACGTGACGCTCGGCAGTACAAAGCGTGTACTGTACGTACTGCGAGACCATCGCCCGTTTATCGAATTATTATTTATCTTAAAAACTCATTTATTTAGCCCTGCTTTTGGTTTCTAGTTGCTTGTCGTTCCCCTGCACCCCCAATTGGCACGGTTGGCAATGCACGGTGTGTGAAAGAAGTTCAACATACATACACACAAATATAAAGACACCCCCGCGTATAGCCTTAACAGACTGTAGGGGCAAGCGCTGTTAACCAGTAGCACCTTTGAAGGCCGGCACGGCACACGAGGGGGTGGGTGGCCAGCACCACAACCCGGCCGCCTCTTTCTCCCGAGTGCCGATGATTTTACACACCGCACCAGCTACTCGTTTGAGGCCGAGTCGACCCAGGGGGAGGCCCAGGACCGGTTGAGATAATCGTCACCGGCTGTTGGCCGCGAGCGGGAATCGAACTCTGGTCGCCGGCTTCCTAGCGCAGCGCGGCGCCGACCGCTGCGCCACCGCTCACACGCAGCAGCGGCATCACCCCCCACCCCCCCACCCCCACACCCTCCCCCCCCACCCTTCTTGCTGAAACTCGTGAGCATCGCCAACCGTGCTGGCTCGACGGACAGTCTCGTCCCTTCACCTGATGAAGGCCGCTTGGTGTTGTGGCCGAAACGTCGTGGGAATTTTAATCGCGTTATTTTATTTTATCAATTTATTATTTTATTCTCATTTCTACGTGGTGGTGACTTTACCGAAAGAACCAAAGAAGAAAAAAGCCAAGAACAGTTTAACCGATTGGATTTTTTTTCGGTAAAGCCACGTATGCAGAAATACAATGAAATTATATTAAGATTTTTTAAAGTTTGTTTTAATATATAATTTTATTGTATTTCTACATACGTGACTTTACCGAAAGAAAAAAAAAACCAATGAGTAATTTTATGCAGTCACGAAAGCTTTAGTAGTTTATTAGCCAAGAGCAGAGCGGCGTTTTTGCTCCTCAACAGCAGGTGGCATCGTTACATCACGAACCTGCCCCCCCCCCCCACTGGAGCAGGCAAGGCGCGTGCGTGGCCGCATCATTCCCAGGGGGAATTTTACGTTTGAGATTCGGTGTGTAAAAACAGGTCCCTGCAGGGTGGGCTGGTAAGGAACATTGGAATTTTGCGCAATTTTATGACATTGTTATACTTCCAAATGTTGGGTGCAATAAGACATATCAAGTCTCTGCGCTGTCTATTGCTGATTTTACACCCAACAGCACGAGATTTCACTTCGTTAAAGTATTGAAAGGGGACGGACGGACGACACATTAATCTATTGCAGGCTGGTACACTCAGTTTACAACTTCGTTCCTACCAGTAAAACAAATGCGTGTATGTAGTAGGTGCTCGCTAACAGCACTTGGCCCAACAATCTGTTTATATATATACACCAATGTGACTTCACCGAAAGAACCAGGCTATGCGGGGATCTTCGTCGTTGCATGGAGTGGAGGTGTGTGTGCGGGGAGCGGTGGTGTAGCGGTTAGCGCGCTGCGCTACGAACCCGGTTACCCGAGTTTGATTCCCGCCCAGGACCAACAGCGGTGACGATTATCTGAACCGGTCCTGGGCCTCCCCCCAAGATCGACTCAATCTTAAATGAGCACCTGGTGCGGTGTCTAAAATCATCACCACGAGGGAGACAAAGGCGGCTGGGCGTGGTGCTGGCCACCCACCCCCTGGTAATTTCGCTCCGCTCTGCATCGGTGCTCGCCAACAGCACTTTCCCCAACAGTCTGTTCGGTCTATGTGGGGGGGATCTTCGTCCTTTGAATGTCGAACTTCTTTCGCGCCATACGTAGCTAACCGCGCTAAATCGTAGGTGTGGGGGAGATGAGGACAACAAACGAGCAAAAGCCTGACGCTGCTGACGAGACGCTGTGTTGTCGAAACCGGTTGGGCGAAGCTGTTCTCGCACCGACGTTTACACGAAAGAAGAAACTGAAAGAAAATACTTTAAATTGTTGTATTTTTTGCTACGCCTTGCTCGCCTCTTTTAGAAACACGCACCGAGATTGATTTCTCACCTGATGACGGACGCTTGCGCTGCGCCCGAAACGTCGCGATTCATTTGATTTTCTAACCCACGTGACTTCGCCAAAAGAGCCTCAAGAGCGGGGGATTTCCCTGCAGTCACGGGAGCTTCAAATCAAGATCATTTAGATTGTTTTGCTGCCGTGAATGTTCAAATGATGGCGACCATTTTGTTGAGCCATCGTGTTGGTGGTAGCCAGGTCGAAAAAAAAAAAATAGTTAATACCTCACAATGGGCTTTGCCTGGCAGAGATGGTTTAGTGTTGCGTTGTGTTTGTGTGTTGGGTGTTTTTTGTTGACCTCTCGTGCACTTTGCACTCCTATCGTGTTGATGTCATTGTTTGCCGCTGTAAAGTTCCGATCCCGATTCATACGAACGCAACGTTAACCATGCAAAGTAAACGTACTTCAGTCTCGATGTCGACGATGGACTTTATGACGATGGACGATATGTCCATCCCGTGAGCCTGCGAAACACACAGCACACAAAGGCAAAGATCCTCCGTGTAGCCCTAACAGACTGTTGGGGCAAGTGCTGCTAGCCCGAGCACCTATGAAGGCCGGCACTACACACGAGGGGGTTGTTGGCCAAGACTACGCCCGACCGCCTTTGTCTCCCCAGTGGCGATGTTTACTACACACCGCACCAGGTACTAACTTTGAGGCCGAGTCTACCTAGGGGAGGCCCAGGACCGGTTCAGATATTCGTCACTGGTGTTGGCCGTGAGCAGGAATCTAATCCGAGTCCCCGGGTTTGTAGTGCAGCACGCTAACTGCTACACTACTGCTCCCCACACACACGCGTACACACACACACGCGCGTACACACACACACGCGCGTACACACACACACACACAGCACGAGCGGTTTAGTTTCGTCCACAGCCGCTACGTGGATCCACTGCTGGATGAGAGTCTCTCCTCCATGGTCATGTCAGCCGTGATGGCTGCAACGGCGGTGGTGGCCGTGGTGGTGGTATTCTTCGTATGGTAGGCTGAGCGAGACTGAGGCTGAGCGTTAGGCCGAGCATTAGACGGAGCGTTAGACTGAGCGTTAGGCTGAGCGTTAGGCTGAGCATTAGACTGAGCATTAGGCTGAGCGAGAGGTAGGCTGAGCGTTAGGCTGAGCGTTAGGCTGAGCGTTAGGCTGAGCGTTAGGCTGAGCGTTAGGCTGAGCGTTAGGCTGAGCGTTAGGCTGAGCGTTAGGCTGAGCGTTAGGGTGAGCGTTAGGCTGAGCGAGAGGTAGGCTGAGCGTTAGGCTGAGCGTTAGGCTGAGCGTTAGGCTGAGCGTTAGGCTGAGCGTTAGGCTGAGCGTTAGGGTGAGCGTTAGGCTGAGCGAGAGGTAGGCTGAGCGTTAGGCCGAGGCGTTAGGCTGAGCGTTAGGCTGAGCGAGACTGAGGCTGAGCGTTAGGGTGAGCGTTAGGGTGAGCGTTAGGGTGAGCGTTAGGGTGAGCGTTAGGCTGAGGCGTTAGGCTGAGCGTTAGGCTGAGCGTTAGGCTGAGCGTTAGGGTGAGCGTTAGGGTGAGCGTTAGGGTGAGCGTTAGGGTGAGCGTTAGGGTGAGCGTTAGGGTGAGCGTTAGGGTGAGCGTTAGGGTGAGCGTTAGGGTGAGCGTTAGGGTGAGCGTTAGGATGAGCGTTAGGGTGAGCGTTAGGGTGAGCGTTAGGGTGAGGATGAGCGTTAGGCTGAGCGTTAGGCTGAGCGTTAGGCGAGCGTTAGGCTAAGCGTTAGTCTGAGCGAGCGTTAGGCTGAGCGAGCGAGGGGGTGGGAGATCCAAGCGAGGGGGGTGCTCGTGCATGAACAATCGCTCACGTGTCTGGAGGACGTGTCGTACTTCTCGCTCAGGACAAAGGGGACCCCGTCTATCGCTGCGGGGAGACAGGCACAGACGCACGCGTTAAGAGATTTCAGTTTCAAGACAGGCAGTCCGCTCGGTCTCAGAGGTCAGGGCCGTCGCTGCCGAGCCAGCAACCGCCGAGGGCCTGGGTTACAATCCCGGTTCCAGCCGCCCACGGTTACACCGGGTCCTCAGGTGCGGCGAGAGTTGATGGTCTCAGCCCGGGTCACCAGTGACTCACACGGAGACCCGGAGACTCACGCACAGACCCACACGCGTAGACCCAAATAGAAACCCACAGACTCGCACAGAGATCCACTCAAAAAGAGACACACAGACTCACAAACATATCCATGTACTCGGACCTATGGAGACTCACATAGATTGGGTTGTGATTAAACTGGGTTCCTAAAGTGTAGCGAGTTCATTGGTCTTTGTGTCAGCTTATTGGGTCTCGATCAGAGTCTATGGGTCTCTACATAAATCAACGGTGACCGGAACGACGTAGAGACCCCATCAACTCGCGTAGAGGCACGTGGGTTCACACAGACGCCGCATAGATTCGCACAAAGACTTGGTTCATGGTCTGAGCCTGGTCAGCAAAAATTGCCCAAAAAAATTTAACCCATCACATTCCGCGCATGTGCATGCATAATGTACGTTGATTACCATATAAATAACCCAACGGCAATGGATACCCATTGTCATTTATATGCATTCATGATTCCCCCCCCCCCACCACTTTGCTCAAGGGATTCACAAGTGATGTCTGCACATCTACCCCTCTATCTAAGGAACGAGACAGTGGAGGATTTCTCCACAAATCTGGCTGTCGCCTGATGAAGCTGGTTGTAATTACCGGCGAAACGTCGTACTCAGATTATAAATGCTGTGCCTCTGCTCTCCAACACACCGGTGTGCTGTACGAATAACGAATTGGCCACGTTCCGTTTACGTGACAAACCTCGCGAATTGGCCTGTGTCGGGTGGTGGCGGGTTTTAACCGACACATTTATATTTGCGCACGAAAACCTTTCCCCGCCCTGGAGGCGTCCGCCGGTCGCAGGGCGTGGGGCGCGTCCCGTTCACCGCCGAATCTCGTGTGACCGTGCGGGGGGCAGCTGGCCGTTAACCCCACAGCGCCGCCGGTCTTTAAACGACGTCGTTGCTCGCCGCAGAGAACGGCGGCCGCCACCCCTCTCTACGATAGCCGGCGCTAAAACGACGCCAAAACGGTGCCACGTCCCCACCCCCGCCCCGCCCCCCCCCCCCCCACCACCCACGTGGTCTTATTCTTCCGATTCCGTCCCGATGACGCGCGTACGGAAGCAGAAGAAAAACTGACGGCCTACGCCGTGTGTACACGTGCGTCGTCCGAATGGGAAAGGGTTCATCATTGGGGCTGAATTCCAGCGCCGAGAATTACAACTATCGGGGCGAGTGTAAAAGGCGTCACTGCGATGCGCACGGGAGGGGAAGCCTGGCAAACCTCCGCGTGATCCACCAACCCCCCCGCCCGCCCCTCGCCGCCTTCTTAGGCGACGGGCGAGCGCGCCTGACGTGGCACCGGCGGGGCGCGACCGCTGGATCGACACGACGGGGGAGACTTTCGTGTGAAAAAGGAAATTGCCCGATAAAATTCGGCGTTCTGTGGCGGCGGGGACGTAAATTACCGCGGTGCAATTCCCTCCCACCCCCCGCGCCTCCCCTCCGCCTCCCAAACTCAAATCACGGCACGGCGTTTCATTAACGTCCCCAGCAACAATAACATCAGCGGCGGCTGCAAGGCGACAATGCGGCAGCAACAATAATAATGCAAATAAATTCAAACGGCAGAGCGAGAAGGCAAAGGAATTAAATCCTCAGCACATTAATGAATAGAATAATGAACAATACCGTCACGGAACCTTTTCATCAATAATTCCAATTAGCACGGCGAGGAAACGATCTGGTGCTTGCGTGCGTGCGGTAAAATAAAAAAATAAAAATAAATAAATAAAAATGCGACGCGGGAGATAAAATTATACCGCGCGTGCCTTGTTTAACTTGCAAAGCACTCTGGGTATATTTTGCGCACTCCCAAAGGGATTGTGGGAAGCGGAGGCTGCCTAATTAAGGGGAAACGCCGTTGCCACCCTTAATTGCGCCGCGGTCCGTTGGGGGCCAAGGCGAGCGTGCCGCGGGCGTCTTGCAGTCAAAGAGACGCCCCAGGGATCACATCTCACCCCCCGGTGGGACCCACGCCACCGACGGGCGACGCCGTTAATTCGCGCCGTTTTAGTTCAACCATTAACCCCTCTACACGCTCAACAACCCCCACCCCCGCGCCCCCCCCCCCCGCCCCCCCCACCCAGTTTTCGAAATGTCTGCAAGTTGTAGGGTGCGGGGGTTCTCTCCCCCCGCCCCCCCACCCCCCCCCCCCCCCACACTGCCGAATCTCGCCCGTTAATTTTAATTGAGAGGAGGCGCAGCAGGGCCGTTGTTTTTGTTTTTAAAGACGTCGTAGTCGCCGTGGGCGAGCCGTGGCGACATGGCCGCGATGCTGCGAAACCTGGCACCAAACGGTGGCAGACGCCCCTCCCCCCGCACGGCCTTGACAGGAGGTTTTATTTATTTAGTATTTTAGTTGTTCTCGACGTACACCACGTCATCGAAACGGGAAAGGGTTAAGCGCGAACAAAAAATAAAAAAAATCTCGCACGCGGAACGTTCCGTCCGATTATGCTTTAGCATTTTATTTTACTATTCGTCCCACGCATTTGTCACGTTTTACAAGGGAGGCCGAAAGCGTTGGTGCATTATCGGATGCTTCATAATAAAGGTTTTTGGGTTAGATCGCGTTATTTATAAATGTGTCGTGACCCTCCACCACCCGACACGGCCAATCAGCATTCTGGCGAATTGCTCGATGATGCTGGATGTAATTACCAGCGAAACGTCGTACTACTCAAACTGTAAATGTTGTGGATTCACTCTTCAACACACCGGTGGGCTAAAGCAGTGAACTATTTGTCCTTTGTCAACGTGACACTTTTTTTGCCGATTGGCCGTGTCGGGTGGTGGAGGGCTACGACACATTTATAAATAACGCGATCTAACCCAAAAAGCTTTATTATGAATAAGAAAGCCTACGTGTTAAACTGATTATCGTATGCATTTGTATACGTGTGTGTACACGCTGAACTTCTTTCGCGCCGTACGTAGCCAACCGCGCTAATCGGAGGTGCGGGGAAAGGACAACAAACCGCTCGTACAAGAGAATGCATTAAACGCGTTCTCTGCAATTCCCACGTAGATCTCTCGCTCCCTCGCTCTCCTCTCTCGGCGAATAAAAAAAAATACGTGGCAGCACCGTGGAAGGACCGCGGCAATTACGCACGGGATGGTTTCTTATCGCGTGGGGGCCCGGCCCAGGGATCGTGGCGGCTCATTATTTAATCCACGTTAATTCGCAAAAATGAGAACGTGGAAAAAAAGCGTTTGCACATCCCCCCGCACACCCCACCAGCCCAACCCCCCAACCCCCTCTCTCTCTCTCTCTCACCGGCCCTTCTCCACAGGTCGTGATGGGTGGGGGGGAGAGAGAGGGAGCAAAAAAAAGATAGTGCCAATCTTGCTTTAAAGCCCACTTCCTTTCATCGCATTGTTCCGAAATTTAATTAGCTTTCGAACGCTAACGCTCGTGCGTTCCGACGTCGGGCTTTTAGTCTTATTTTTTTTTTTACAATATAAAATTTTTGTTAATTTTTTTTCTAGATATTTTTTTATTTCCTCCCCCCCCCCCCCCCCCGAGACCCCACCGAGTTGACCGAGGAATCGCGTGCCGCGATCAACGGTGACGCTGACTGCGCGCGTGCATGGCTCGGGTTAAAAGCGAGTGCAGTTTCGGGATGAAAACGGGGAAATTATTTTACGTATAAACACACATGCAAACTCCAAATATACAGCAGGCGTTGTGGTGTTGGAATTGAAACCTCGACCCCCTGTGTACCAGGCGAGGTAGTTAACATCTCCCAGCCAACGTGGCACCCCCAAAGTGAAGCACGTATGTTGAACTGTTTTTGTACCGTACGTAGCCAGCCGTTCTAATCAGAGGTGCAGGGGAAGGACAATCAATCTTGATTTGAAGCTCTCACGACTGCAGGAATCCATACTCTTTGGTTCTTTCGGTAAAGTCCACGTAGGTAGAAATGTATTTTATTTCATTAAGCTAATATGTATTTTATTTCATTAAACTAATATGTATTTCAGGCTTTGAATATTGGGATTCCAAAACAAATTAATATACAAAAACAAAAATTGGGGCACCACGGTGGCTAGATGTTAACTACCTCGCCTGGTGTACAGGAGGTCGTGGGTTCGATCCCGACCCTGATGCCTGCTGCTGTATATTTGGAGTTTGCGGTGTCTAAATTTTGATTTAAAGCTTTCGTGACTGCAAGGATTCATCTTTTTTGGTTCTTTCGGTAAAGTCACGTAGAATGAGAATTTTATTGTGTTATTTTATTTTGCAGTGTCTCTCTCATCATCATCACGGTGGCTCGGAGATGTTAACGACCTTGCCTGGTATACAGGAGGTCGTGGGTTCGATCCCGACCCTGATGCCTGCTGCTGTATATTTGGAGTTTGCGTGTCTCTCTCTCTCATCATCATCACGGTGGCTAGGAGATGTTAACTACCTCGCCTGGTGTACAGGAGGTCGTGGGTTCGATCCCGACCCTGATGCCTGCTGCTGTATATTTGGAGTTTGCGGTGTCTTCTTTCTCTCTCCCCGTGGTTGCGTAGATTTTATGTCCGGGACCTCCGGTCTTTCCCTCCACATCACTCGTTGAGAGTATTTGTGCTGCTATAAATATCCACGTGATGATAGGCCACATCGTGGAGCTATCGCTTGTGGCCAGGTCGCGTCTGAAAAACGGCCGTATGGCTCAGTGGGCCTCGCCCGGTAAAATAGAAAGTTTAGTTTTTGGATGGGTCTCAGCGAGTATGGGTCTCTATGGTTCCATACGAGTCTGTGGATCTCGGGGGGGGGGCTCCGTGGGTCTGTATAGGTCTATGGATCTCTACGAGTCTGTAGAAACATGCCTTTAGTGTATTTGCATACCCGTCAACCCCTTATCAGTGCCCTACCTTACCACTGACCAATTCAGATGGTCACCCCGTGCCCCTTACAAATCTCAACGTTCATCTTACAAAGGCCCATCACAAGGGAGAAACATAAACAAAGGCGTATTTTTTTGGCCCGTAGTGAAACGGCTGTACGCCGTATGGACCTGAAAACTCAATTTCCCTGCACAAGAATACGGAGTGAACCGTACGGGGGTTCACCCCGTATGCATTTGGCTGCTACAGATTTCCACGCGGTAACGATAAGCCACTTCCGTTGAGCTAGAGCATTTGTGATGGCCAGGTCGCTTCTGAAAAAGAAAGCCAGTTAACCAGGTAAAAAAAAAAAGTGGAGCCGTTTGGTTAGCTGGTAGCGACGGCTGCATCGACGGTGGGGGAAATCGTTTCGCGGGGGCGCACCGCTCACCGGTTATGCCGTAGATGTTGTCCCCACCGTTGCGCTGAGTGTGTCCCATGGACAGGGCGAGACCCTTCTTGAAACTCGACGGCAGGGTCAGAGACTTCTGACTGCAGGCAATCAACGGAGCGGGGGGGGGGGGGGTGGGGGAGCACGGAATGAACGGATGAATGAAATCGCATCACGGCCCTGGCTTACGATTCGTCAAACTCGTGAACGGCATCTCTTACGAAAGACCCGAAGCAGAAGATCCCCCTGGGGTTTGATTTTGCACGAGGCTGCTCACGGTCCACTCTAAAACGCACCGACTGCGCAGACCATGGCGGCACAGCAGTAGATGCGGGTGATGCCCGATGCACGGATGGAACACTTAAAACTCTCCAGTAGTAGCAGTAGTGGTGGTGGTGGTGGTGCGACTGTGGTAATCAAGAACAGAGAGTGGACGCAGTGCCCACCGATCCACAAATACGAAGGGGACATCACGGCGGCGAAGATGATGATGATGATGATACAACTCCACTGGCTCCTTGACGTGGTTGTCTGGCTTGACCCACATGAATGTGAAATTGTTAATTGTTGGCTCCGCATCTACGTCAGCAGTGGTACGAAAGAAGAATGAGAAGTGTCAGAGATTCATCTTCTTTGGTTCTTTCGGTAAAGTCACGTAGAATGAGAATAAAATAATAAAATTACGCAATCAAATTCTCACGACGTTTCGGCCACAACGCAAGCGGGCCGTCTTCAAGTGAAAGGAACAGAGCTGTTGGGACGACAGAGCTGAAGACGGCCGCTTGCGTTGTGGCCGAAACGTCGTGAGAATTTGATTGTGTTATTTTATTATTTTATTCTCATTCTACGTGACTTTACCGAAAGAACCAAAGAAGATTAATCCTTGCAGTCACGAAAGCTTTAAATCGAAATGTAAGTGTCAGAGAGGTGACGTAGGTAAAACAAAAAAATGAAAACAACCAAATTAAATCACGACGTTTCGGAGGCAACACAAGCTTCCGTCTTCAGGTGGAACAGTCACAGCAAAATAGCTGTATCAAGTGAAGAGAGCTCTAAGACACTCGAGATTATATACAGGTTAAGGGGGGGGGGGGGGGGGGGGGTGGGGGGGGAGGAGCCGGGAAGGGCCGGGGGGGGTGGGCTAAGTTAAGCCGCATTTTGTTATGCTGCAGGGGGTTCGGGGGAAGTGATGGCGAGCTGTACTCGAAAACGGGCTCAACCCTCTGGAAGAAATGGAAATGGCTGTACAACAAGGCAGCTAAAGTTTGACTTGGTTGATGACATCCTTCCAATGGTTGCTCAACAAACCTGCGAGTGAGCGAGTGCTTGGGGTGCGCAATTCCCCATTTCGCGTGGCAGTAGACGCGTTCCTGTCAAAGGTTCTCGCGTTTAAGCGATGAATTACAGTGCACCGACCTCCGTACCCATACTGGACGTCTGTGAAAAGGAGCTTCATAGCTCATCGGATTTCTCCTGCAGTCGAAATAAAGATTCCGATTCTGACTGCTTCCCGAGTTCGATTCCCGCTCACGGCCGACACCGGTGACGATGATCTGAACCGGTCCCGGGCCTCCCCTAGGTCGACTCGGCCTCAAATGAGTGCCTGGTGCGGTGTGTAAACATTGCCGCTAGCAAGACCCCGGGCGTGGTGCTGGCCACCCACCCCCTCGTGTGCCACAGTGCCGGCCTTCATAGGCGCTGCTTGCTAACAGCACTTGCCCCTACAGTCTGTGAAGGCAATGAGGGGGATCTTTGTCTTTGTGCTGATGCAGGCAGTACATACTATGACAAGCTGTTCAGTAAGTACTGTTGCAGTCAGGGCTGTGCGTGTGTGTGTGTGTGTCGAGGTAGGCAGTACGTACTGTGGCAGTCGGCTCTGTGTGTGTGTGCTCAGGTAGGCAGTACGTACTGTGGCTGTCGGCTCTGTGAGTGTGTGCTCAGGTAGGCAGTATGTACTGTGGCAGTCGGCTCTGTGTGTGTGTGTGTGCTCAGGTAGGCAGTACGCACTGTGGCAGGTTGGGGCTGAGTGTGTGCTCAGGTAGGCAGTACGTACTGTGGCAGTCGGCTCTGTGTGTGTGTGTGTGTGCTCAGGTAGGCAGTACGCACTGTGGCAGGTTGGGGTGAGGTGTCGACTGCTGTAGGAGTGCCGCCGATACCGCCGCTGTGGCCTCGCTCGTCGTCCCCATGGCCACCTCCTTCCTCGCGGGAGCCGGCACGACCTTGGGAACCCGGCCCATGCGGTACCAGATCCGCATCCCGTTGGTCTCCCTGGGCAACGGAGAACACGGGGGTCACCGTCATCAGCGTCACCGTTAAAATCGTTGTCATCGTCACGATCATCATGACCGCCGTCATCGTCATGGCCGTCGTCATCGCCATGCAAATGAAACTAAACTCTTGTTTATTTTAGCAGCTAAGGCCCACTGAGCTGTGTGGCTCTCATTCAAAAGCGACCTGGGCTATCACAAATTACAGAGCAACAAAATGGCTCATCACGTGTGACGATGACGACGATGTACCCCGCGATGACGACGATGATGATGTACCCCGTGATGACGACGATGATGATGTACCCCGTGATGGCGATGACGACGATGTACCCCGTGATGACGACGATGTACCCCGTGATGGCGACGATGGTAATGATGGCGACAATGACGGTGACGATGATGGTTTGGATGATGGAGAGGATGATGGCGACGATGTATCCCGTGATGGCGATGATGATGACGACGATGTACCCCGTGATGGCGACGATGATGATGTTCCCCGTGATGGCGACGATAACGATGTTCACCGTGATGGCGACGATGACGATGTTCCCCGTGATGGTGACGATGACGATGTGCCCCGTGATGGTGACGATGATGATGTTCCCCGTGATGGCGACGATGACGATGTGCCCCGTGATGGTGACGATGACGATGTGCCCCGTGATGGTGACGATGACGATGTTCCCCGTGATGGCGACGATGACGATGTTCCCGTGATGACGACGATGACGATGTCCCCCGTGATGGTGACGATGACGATGTCCCCCGTGATGGTGACGATGACGATGTTCCCTGTGATGGCGACGATGATGATGTCCCCCGTGATGGTGCCGATGATGATGTCCCCGTGATGGAGACGATGATGATGTTCCCCGTGATGACGACGATGACGATGTCCCCTGTGATGGTGACGATGATGATGTCCCCCGTGATGGTGACGATGATGATGTCCCCCGTGATGGAGACGATTATGATGTCCCCCGTGATGGCGATGATGACGATGTCCCCTGTGATGGTGACGATGATGATGTCCCCGTGATGACGACGATGACGATGTCCCCTGTGATGGTGACGATGATGATGCCCCCGTGATGGCGATGATGACGATGTCCCCTGTGATGGTGACGATGACGATGTGCCCCGTGATGGCGATGATGGCGACACTCACCCGATGCAGGTGTACTGTGACGGGATCTGCTTCGGCTTGCCGCTCACGATGATGTCCGTGATGGCCGCCTCCGTGGACTCGCGAGGGATGAGCTGGACGCACAGACGCTTCTTCTTCAGCGCTGGCTCATCTGTCGCACAAAGACAAAGGTCCCCCGCCGTGTAGCCTTCAACAGACCCTAGGAGCAAGTGCTGTTAAGCGAGCAGCGAGCACCTATGAAGGCCGGCACGGCGGATGAGGGGGTGGGAGGCCGGCACCACTCCTGGCCGTCTTTGTCTCACTACTACACACTATACCACTATACTAAACTGAAAACGAATTTCTTTAAAACTACTTTTTGCGTTTACTTTGCCGTCCTTCCCCCGCACCTCCGATTAGCACGGTTGGCTACGTACGTTGCATAAGCAGTTCAACATACATACATGCATATACATGTTATATACGTATATTGCTGAACTTCTTTTGCACGTACATATATTTATGTATGTTGTTGAACTTTTTTCGTAACCGTACGTAGCCAACCATGCTAATCGGAGGTACTCATTTGAGTACCGGGTGCGAAGTGGCTTATCACGTGTAGATTACAATCGGTGGCAGCATAGCCATACAGCTAAACAAAATTGGCAGCATACTTAAAAATGAATCTTGAGACTCAGTGAGGCTTTCCTAGGTAAAAACAAGGTGAACAATAATAAATATTTTTGTAAGTTGTGCGTGTGTGTGTGTGCGCAGTGTTTAGCAGTGGGGAGCGGTAGTATAAGCGGTTAGCGGGCTACGCTAGGAACCCGGCAAACCTCATTCAATTCCCACTCACGGCCAACGACTCAGCCTTAAATGGGCACCTGGTGCGGGTGTGTTAACATCGCCATTAGGGAGACAAAGGCGGCCGGGCGTGGTGCTGGCCACCCAGCCCCCTCGTGTGCCGTGCTGCCCTTCATTCTAGGCGCTCGCTAACCAGCGCCTGCCCCAACAGTCTGTTAAGGCTATAAGGAGGATCTTTGCATTAACCACATATACTTGTGGTGAACATGCAGAAAAAAACACACATGCCCTGATATTATGTCTTCGAAACTGCAGACACGATTCCTTGCAAAAGGTCGTAGTTGTTTTAACAGCTTAACACAACTGTGTTATTGCCAAAAAGGGTAAAACCTATTCTTACATCTTGACAATGACAAGGGGGGGTCCCCCCCCCCCCCACAATCCACACACGGTGGGTATAAACATTGGCGCAGATTATCGTGCGTTCTATAAAACACGCTGCCTGCGTATACATCATCCTGTTCTCCGTGGATGTTTCGGATGACATTCGAAAGAACCAAAGAGTATGGATCATTGCAGTCACGAAAACTTAAAATCTAGAATTAACTACCTCTACGGGGAGGAATTCCACTTATCTGTTAGAGTTTTTAACAGGCAACGAGACAAGAAGTCACAGCTAATCGAGACGCTAACCTTCCTCAAGAGATGCCGCTCTCTACTCGTCACAGTAATTTTGCTGCGGCTGTTGCCACCTGATAACGGAAGCTTGTGTTGCCTCCGAAACGTCGTGATTTGATTAACTTTATTTTTTATTTTTTTATTTAAAGCTTTCGTGACTGCAGTAATTCATATTCTTAGTTTTTTCGGTAAAGTCACGTTGAAGAGAAACAACAAAATAATAAAATATATATAAAACAATAAAAAATTCTCACGACGTTTCGACCATAACTCAAACGGTCATCTTCAGGTGTGTTGGTTTGCATAAATTGATTTTTAAACGGCGCATTTATTTATTTATAAAAAACGTTAGCGTCACGTGCAGCGATTTGGCAGTTTACCCAGGACTAGTCCATCTATATTTTGGAAAGAGGAGGGGGGAGATGAATTTTTTTATAATGTATGCAACACACCTGAAGATGACCGTTTGAGTTATGGTCGAAACGTCGTGAGAATTTTTTTATTGTTTTATATATATTTTATTATTTTGTTGTTTCTCTTCAACGTGACTTTACCGAAAAAACTAAGAATATTTTTTTTTTATGTTTACCTACGTGACTTTACCGAAAGAACCAAAGCGTATGGACATTCCGGCTTGTGTGCAAAACAACATTCTGTCATCAAAACGTACTGCAACGTACCCTTCTTCAACTATGCGTCTTTATTTCCTCCCACTAAAGCAGCTGCCGCTGGGAGCTTGCTATCAAAACATATCATTTACAATCTGAAAGAGATACATTTGTTTAAAAAAAAAAAAAAACTCTCCGAGAAGAAGATCACCGGACAGCAATCTGCCAAAAACGTGGGTGGAACCGATGTCTCGCGCGCACACGACGATTGTTCAAGCCCAACTCACTTGTGTCCAGCGTCTCGGACAGGGCAAAGAATCCTTGGGGCAGCGTCTCCTTCTCTCCGAGGAGCTTCAGATCGGCCAACACGTTACTTGGGTAACCCTGACGACGACAACGACGAAATTAAAGGTGCGCACGCACGCACACACACGTCCGTGGAGAAAAAAAATGGTTGTGTGGGCTCAGCGGTGGACCGGGTGGGCACGCTAAGGACAAAAACGCAAAAAAAATCGAGCAAAAAAAACCTCAGAAGCCCGGCGGACAGAGGGCGCGCGTGGGACTGTTTGGCAAGCGGCGTCCGCCAAACAATGACCCGGAAGCACCAGTGGACAGCAGCAAGAAGAGTTCACGCGATCGCCATCGCAACAGGCCACACACGTCTGGCGAACAACGGTCCTCCGCTGACTCCGCGCGTGATCAACGAATGAGTTCACACGCGCGCACGCGCGCGACCATAATCAGCACCATCATCATCGTCGTCATCGTCGTCACCACCATGTTGCACAAGGCGGATGAGTTCGGCAGTGCCACCTAAAATGGACAAATTCTACCATCAATATTAATAATGTATTCACTCTCAGAGAGGGGGAAGATTGACTTGGAGAGAGAGGGGTATGTACGTTGAACTTCTTTTTCACCCTACCTAAGAGAACCGTGCTAAATCGGGCATGCATGGAGTAAGGAACGCACAATTATGTTTATAAGATACTGATGTTGCACGGTGCTTTCGTTATACCAACTGCTGGAATGGTAAACTACGTCCACAGCCAAATTTTGTGCCATGTCTTTTTTGTGGTGCGTGTGCCATCATCAGTGGTGACCGGGCCTCTATGTGAGTCATTGGTGACCGGGGATGAGACCCATCAAACTCAGTACACTTGAGAATCCAGATGAATCACAACTTAGTCTATGCGAGTCTACGGGTCTCTATGCGAGTCTCAGGGTCTCTATGCGAGTCTACAGGTCTCTATGCGAGTCTACGGGTGCTCTGTGCGAGTCTACGGGTCTCTATGCGAGTCTACGTGTCTCTATGCGAGTCTACGGGTCTCTATGCGAGTCTACAGGTCTCTATGCGAGTCTACGGGTCCTCTGTGCGAGGCTACGGGTCTCTATGCGAGTCTACGGTTCTCTATGTGAGTCTACGGGTCTCTATGCGAGTCTACGGGTCTCTATGCGAGTCTACGGCTCTCTACTCTGTGAGTCTACGAGTCTCTATGTGAGTAAGTCATTGGTGAGCAGGCTGATATCATCAACTCACTACACTTAATCAAAATGGCCGGCTGACTCCCGGATTCGAACCATGGCGGCGAGATGTTGACTACCTCGCCTGGTGTACAGGAGGTCGTGGGTTCAATCTCGACCCTGATGCCTGCTGCTGTATATTTGGAGTTTAAACGTTCTCCCCGTGGTCTCGTGGATTTTTCTCCGGGTCCTCCGGTTTTTCCCCGCCACGTTTAGAATGAACGTCGCGCGTTTATCGGAATATTTGGCTGCCGCTCCACATCCGCACACGACGAAGACGACGATGAGCCCACTTCGTTGGAGCTATCGTTCGTGATACAGCCGCGTCGCTTATCGAAAAGACCTTCATCGCAGCTCAGCGGGGGGCCTCATCCGATAAAATAAAATAAAATAGTAAACAAAAAATCTTCAGCACGTCATTTACAACCCAGGATTTTAGTGGCGCGTGCTCAGCGACTCCTGACCTCCGACACGCCCGGCCACCTCGGGGTCGGGCCGACGGCTATTGGCCGAGACCACTCGCTCTTCTAGATTTGAAGCTTTCGTGACTGCAAGGATCCACACTCTTTGGTTCTCTTCGGTAAAGTCACGTAGGTAAAAAAATAAAACAACAAGCGGCCTGATGAAGGCCGCTTGTGTTGTGGCCGAAACGTCGTGATTTTTTGTTGTTTTATTTTTTACACAACGTGACTTTACCGAATAGAACCAGAGAGTACCACTCGCTCTCTTCGCCGCGGCCTCTTGTAACGGCCACTGCGAGGTTCTGGTGATCGAAGGGGAAGCCGTCGTTCTCAGGGTCAGGTGGGGGCGGTGGGGGGGTGGGCAAGCCTCATCCCGACGCCGACACCGGAGGTCTCAGATTATCGCCGTGACGTCTCGCGCGCGGGGGGAACGACCGAACCCGATGCGGAGCCGCAGAGCCAAGACGAACGCCTCGGGGTAGCAGTCGATCATTTTTTTTTGTGCTTTCACGTTGCAGGCCTTTTCGACGACCCAAAATCATGGTTTGTAATTTTGCGCTTCCTTCTGGTTAGTTCGGCGTGTTAATAAATGCGTGCGGTAAATCCCTCCGCCACTCCGGCACGGCCAATTAATAAAGGTGTCACGTGAAAAACGCGAAACTATTTAAACAATTTTTTTAAATATATATAATGACCAGGCCAGGCCCGCTGGAGCTAAATAGCTCTTTTTCAGAAGTGACGTGGGGATCACAAATGATAGCTCAACGAAGGGGCTGATCATCACCACGTGGAAATTTGTAGCGGCCCAATTACTCTGGACGCGTGATTTTGATCCTAAATGCGGAGGAAAAAAAATCAGTGGACCCGGAGAAAAATCCACACGATGTCAGTGTTGGATTCAAACCCACAACCTCCTGTATACCAGGCGAGGTAGTGTGGGTATATACTCCCACCTCTTCTTCCGTGACGTGGCATGGAAGAGTAGGCCAAATGCCCTCCAGAGGGAGCCCTCACCTTGAGCTCCTCCTCGACTGGCGGAGGCCTCTTCCGCCAGCGGTGGTGCCAGTGAGCAATCACAGGGGCTGTGCCTTTACCTTTTATTTTGATCATTTTTAAAATAATTCTATTTTTATTTTCTTATTATTTTTTACTTTACGAAAGATGAAGGCGGTCGGCTGTGACGCGTCTCCGATTTCTGGTCTCGTCTCTCGAGAGATTATTTATTGAAAGGGGCCGAAACATTATCCTGCACAGAGACACGAAGTCCACGCTTTTGAAACGGCCAATTGTTTCTGCCGTGACGCCCTTCACTCACACCACCACACACACACACGCACGCGCGGTTGTCCGACACAGGGTGTGATTAAAGAGCGCCATCCGTATGTGTGTTGTGTGCGGGCGCGCGTGTGAACACACACCGAGGGAGGGTGAGGGCAGGGGGGGGGGAGTGGTGGTGCAGCGGTTAGCGCGCTGCGCTACGAACCCGGCCGCCCGAGTTCGATTCCCGTTCATGGCGAATACCGCCGATGCCAATTACCTGAACCGGTTCTGGGCCTCCCCCTAGGTTGACTCGGCCTCAAATGAGTACCTGGCGTGGTAGTGTAAACCTCACCGCTGGGGAGACCGTCGGCCGGGCGTGGTGCTGGCCACCCACCGCCTCGTGCGCCGTTGCCGGCCTTCACAGGTGCTCGCTAACAGCACTTGCCCCAACAGTCTGTCACAGGCTATGGGGGAGGGGTTGTTGTCTTTGCGTGCGAGTGCTCACGTTGCTGTGAGGGCGGAGGCGCGTGTAGCACAGGTAACGGCTCGTCTTTGCACGGAACAGTCCGTCTTTCCACAGGTCTGCGTCGGAGCCCTCCATCGTGCGAGCGATCTAAGCACAGGGGAGGGGGGGGGAAATAAAAATCACACACACACACAACGCAATAGACAGACACGTTAATACGTGTATGTGTCTATAAATATATGACAAGTACATTGTCGCCGATGCAGGGCATACACAGGGCTCGATTCAAATCTGCAAATGACGATGAAGCCCATCGCCATAAGAAAAAATGAGTGCAGGCTGGACAACAAAAAATTACTTAACAACGCGCAGAGACAGGGACGATGGCTTTTGTACATGCTACGCTCATCTGCGCGTTCTGGAATCTTCCTGAACAGACATCTGGGGCAGGCACTGTTTTGCGAGTAGCCGCCGATTAAGGTCACAACAGCAAACGCCATTGTCTCCCTCCCCGTGCTGACATTGAAGCACCATCGCGCCAAGGGATGAATTCATTCAATGTGGAGTCTACCCCGGGGAGGGCCCAGGATCGGTTCGGATATTGGCCGTGAGCGGCAAAGGAACTCGGGTCGGCGGGTTGGTAGGGCGGCGGCGCCAACCGCTGCACTGCTGCCCGCTCCTCACATGCTCTTTGGTTCTATTCGGTAAAGTCACGTAGGTAAAAAAAAATAACAAAAATCACGACGTTTTGGCCACAACACAAGTGGCCTTCATCAGGTGAAGGGACCGTGCTGTCACGAGGACAGCGTTGGGAGTGAAAACAGCCAAGCCCAGGTCGCGTCCTTTAAGCTGTGTGGGAGGAAGCAAAACGCTTTGACAAAGGAATTGGCATAAAAACGAGCACGATGTACGTAGGAGGTGCATGGGCCATGACGGACCAGCAGCGGGGGGGGGGGGGGGGGGAGTAGAGTGAGTGAGTGGAGTGAGTGAGTGGAGTGAGTAGAGTGAGTGAGTGGAGTGAGTGGAGTGAGTGGAGTGAGTGGAGTGAGTGAGTGGAGTGAGTGAGTGAGTGGAGTGAGTGAGTGGAGTGAGTGAGTGAGTGGAGTGAGTGAGTGGAGTGAGTGAGTGAGTGGAGTGAGTGAGTGGAGTGAGTGGAGTGAGTGGAGTGAGTGGAGTGAGTGAGTGGAGTGAGTGGAGTGAGTGAGTGGAGAGAAATAAGCAGCTGTGAAAGTTTGGGATAAAAATGAGCACGTACATCGTGCTCATTTTTATGCGAATTCCTTTGTCAAAGCGTTTTGCTTCCTCCCACACAGCTTAAAGGACGCGACCTGGGCTTGGCTGTTTTCACTCCAACGCTGTCCTCATGACAGCACGGTCCCTTCACCTGATGAAGGCCACTTGTGTTGTGGCCGAAACGTCGTGATTTTTGTTATTTTATTTTTTACAGTACGTGACTTTACCGAATAGAACCAAAGAGTATGGATCCTTGCAGTCACGAAAGCTTCAAATCTAGAATTGCTCCTCACATGCCCAACAGACAATGTGCCAACCACAACGGGTCCACAGAATCAATGCTGCGGGAATTGTATACATTCCCACACGAGGCCATGCCCATCTGGTTGGGTTGTCAAAGAAATACTCGATAGGGCTATACGGTTGACAAGAGTTTCGATTTAAAGCTTTCGTGACTGCAATGATTCATCTTCTTTGGTTCTTTCGGTAAAGTCACGTATTTTATCAATTTATTATTTTATTCTCATTCTACGTGACTTTACCGAAAGAACCAAAGAAGGTTGACAAGAGGTTCAGTTTGTTGTCCTTTCCTCGCCGCGCACCTCCGATTAGCGCGGTTGGCTATGTACGGCGAGTCAGAAGTTCAACATACACACACACATGCACAGAATACGCGTTGTCGCATCACTCCACCTCACTGCATTTGCAGTCAGGCGAAGTCCTCAAACGTCTATCCGTAGCGGAAATATCTACACGTTCCATGCGTTGGTCGGACATGGTCGAGAGCGCTCCACTGGGCAATTTAATCAAACAATCAAGAGGGTGCCACGGTGGTGAGATGTTAACTACCTCGTCTGGTACACAGAAGGTCGTGGATTCGATCCCCACCCTGAAACCTGCTGTATATTTGCTTGCTCTTCCCGTGATCGCGCGGATATTTCTCTGGGTCCTCCGGTTTTTTAATCCTCCACATTTATTAAAAAAAATTGCTAAAAATTTCCGCATGGCGAGCCACTTTGCTGGGCTATCCACTTGTGGCCAGGTCGCTTATGAAAAAGAGCTACGTAGCTCAGTGGGCATTACCTGGTAAAATAAAAAAAACAGTTTATAGTTCACAGTTTAAGAAGAGAAAACAGATATTTGATGGGAGACATACCGCCCCCCGCTTACCTCGTCAGTTATTTACAATATTAAAAACGGCGGCTAATCAACATCTTAGGTTAAATCTTGACAAGGCAGAATCGCCGCTCTTATTTCTCATGATCACCACGGTGTTGGGACGTGCCAAGACCTAACGCGACGTTATCGGCCACGCTGCTGGGCCCGGTGGTGTCGAGTGACGAACAGATCACTTGAAAAAAGAAAAGTGATACAATTAATCACCTTCAAAAGTGACGACCAACTCGTGCTGGGATCGTTTGCGAAATAGCCCGACTGCCCAGAGAGTTTCTTCGCTCAAATTTGCACAACGCGCGACACGAAATCAGCCAGCCAGCCTGCCCGCCCGCCCGCCCGCCCGGGCATTCGGAGCCTAACAACCCGCTCGTGGCCCAGTCTTAAAAAAATAAATAAACAATCGCCAGGGAGGGCTTTTGGTTCTGAACGGACGACGACGGTGGTCTCATTTTCACCTCGTTCCGTTGAGTGTTTAATGGAATCAGCAGGAGCCAGCCCCACACGGACGCCCTTCTTCCGTTCGAATGGGCCGACGTAACAACGACGATAATTGTAACGGGTTCATCATTTTTTTTTGTGCTGCTTCCGCACGCAGAGCCCTTTTCACGGCCCGATATCGCGGTCCGTGATTTGCGTTTCTTTTCGGTTAGTTTACGTCTCGTAAACAAAGGCGTGTTGTAAAACCCCTCCCCTGCCACCCCGACAAAGCCCAATTAATAAAGGTGTCGCGTAAATTGAACGTGCCAAATGTATCGCTGCTTCAGCGGAATCTCCCACCGGTGCCTGTTTAACTGTGGGACCCCTTTTTTGCCGGTGTCAAGATGATGAAAAAAAAAAAACCCCTTAAAAATAGGCTTCATTACCCTCTCCGGCAAGAATCCGGGAGGTGTTAAGATGTTCAAACTCCAAACAGACGACTACTGCACGGTTGGCAACTCCGATTAGCACGCTCGGAAAAAGGTTCAACATAGATGCATAGCAAGGCATCGAGTCTGCACCAACCACACAGCATGCCCGCTGTTAAAGATGCACAAACAAGCGTGCTTCGATAATAATTTGTCCCCGAAAATGATTGGCCTAAACCAGAGCGACAGCCCCATTTATGTCCTCGTCTCTCCGGTGTTAGGTAAGAGAACGGCGAAAGGCGAAGAGCGTAAAGGCAACACAAATATCGAAGCATTACACATGAATACGTACGTAGAGATATATATATAGAGAACAATAGAGATACACAGTTATTTATAACTGTTCAACCTGGGCTATTCATGCCTTTGACACTTCACATGGCCTAAAAGCGCACCTAACCTGGCACAAAGCATCGATTCAGCCTCAAATGAGTACCTGGTGCAGTATTTAAACATCGACACTGGGGGAGACAAAGGCGGCCGGGCGTGGTGCTGTCGTGTACCGTGCAAGGCCTTCATAGGCGCTTGCTAACAGCACTTTCCCCAAGTCTATTCGGGTTATAAGGGGGATCATTGTATTTGTAAATATGAGGGTGTGTGTGGGTGAGTAATTCTATTTATGTGTAGCTGTACATATACAGCATGTGTATATCAGTTTTCAAGCGTGTGTGTGTTGTGTAAGAATGTGTGTACGTGTGTGTGTGTGGGGGAGCGGTAGTGTAGTGGTTAGCGCGACCTGGGTTCGATTCCCCTTCACGGCCAACACCAGTGACGATTATCTGAAACGGTCCTGGGCCTCCCCTAAGTCGACTCGGCCTCAAATGAGTACCTGGTGCGATGTGTGAACATCACCACGAGGGAGACAAAGGCGGCCGGGCGTGGTGCTCGCCACCCACCCCCTCGCATGCCGTGCCAGCCTTCATAGGTGTTCGCTAACAGCACTTGCCCCTAACGCCTATTAGGGTTATACGGGGGATCTTTGTGCACACGTATTTATATAACAAACTCTCCACGACTGGGAGTGGTGAAAACGCTCTCGGCTAATGTGACTGGAACAGGCGCAGGCTTGTTCTTTAGTGCGGTACAAAAGCCGCAGGCGGCGGCGGTGGTGATGGCATTGGCACAATCGTCTATACAGTGAGGGAAAAAAAGTATTTGATCCCCTGCTGATTTTGTACGTTTGCCCACTGACAAATAAATGATCAGTCTATCATTTTAATGGTAGGTTTATTTGAATAGTGAGAGACAGAATAACAACAACACAATCCAGAAAAACGCATTTAAAAAATGTAATAAATTGATTTGCATTTTAATGAGGGAAATAAGTATTTGACCCCCTCTCAATCAGAAATATTTCTGGCTCCCAGGTGTCTTTTATACAGGTAACGAGCTTAAATTAGGAGGACTCTTAAAGGGAGTGCTCCTAATCTCAGCTTGTTACCTGTATAAAAGACACCTGTCCACAGAAACAATCAATCAGATTCCAAACTCTCCACCATGGCCAAGACCAAAGAGCTCTCCAAGGATGTCAGGGACAAGATTGTAGACCTACACAAGGCTGGAATGGGCTACAAGACCATTGCCAAGCAGCTTGGTGAGAAGGTGACAACAGTTGGTGCGATTATTCGCAAATGGAAGAAACACAAAAGAACTGTCAATCTCCCTTGGCCTGGGGCTCCATGCAATATCTCACCTCGTGGAGTTGCAATGATCATGAGAACGGTGAGGAATCAGCCCAGAACTACACGGGAGGATCTTGTCAATAATCTCAAGGCAGCTGGAACCATAGTCACCAAGAAAACACTTGGTAACACACTACGCCGTGAAGGACTGAAATCCTGCAGCGCCCGCAAGGTCCCCCTGCTCAAGAAAGCACATATACATGCCCGTCTGAAGTTTGCCAATGGACATCTGAATGATTCAGAGGACAACTGGGTGAAAGTGTTGTGGTCAGATGAGACCAAAATGGAGCTCTTTGGCATCAACTCAACTCGCCGTGTTTGGAGGAGGAATGCTGCCTATGACCCCAAGAACACCATCTCCACCGTCAAACATGGAGGTGGAAACATTATGCTTTGGGGGTGTTTTCTGCTAAGGGGACAGGACAACTTCACCGCATCAAAGGGACGATGGACGGGGCCATGTACCGTCAAATCTTGAGTGAGAACCTCCTTCCCTCAGCCAGGGCATTGAAAATGGGTCGTGGATGGGTATTCCAGCATGACAATGACCCAAAACACATGGCCAAGGCAACAAAGGAGTGGCTCAAGAAGAAGCACATTAAGGTCCTGGAGTGGCCTAGCCAGTCTCCAGACCTTAATCCCATAGAAAATCTGTGGAGGGAGCTGAAGGTTCGAGTTGCCAAACGTCAGCCTCGAAACCTTAATGACTTGGAGAAGATCTGCAAAGAAGAGTGGGACAAAATCCCTCCTGAGATGTGTGCAAACCTGGTGGCCAACTACAAGAAACGTCTGACCTCTGTGATTGCCAACAAGGGTTTTGCCACCAAGTAAGTCATGTTTTGCAGAGGGGTCAAATACTTATTTCCCTCATTTAAATGCAAATCAATTTATAACATTTTTGACATGTGCTTTTCTGAATTTTGTTGTTGTTATTCTGTCTCTCACTGTTGAAATAAACCTACCATTAAAATTATAGACTGATCATTTCTTTGTCAGTGGGCAAACGTACAAAATCAGCAGGGGATCAAATACTTTTTCCCTCACTGTAGTCTACGCACTGGTTCCTCTGTTCACTACGCTGCTCAAAAAACACGCATTCTGATCTGCCAACGTGATGAACGATCAGCCCGTGGAGAGATGTTAACTACCTCGCCTGGTGTGCAGGAGGTCGTGGGTTCGATCCCGACCCTGACCCCTGCTGCTGCTGTATATTTGCATGTTCTCCCCGTGATTGTAGGGATTTTTGTCAAGGGTCCTCCGGTTCAATCAACGTGCGTTTAGAGTATTCAGAGTACAGTAAAACCTTGGATTGCGAGTAACTTGGTCTGCGAGTGTTTTGCAAGACGAGGAGCAATTTTTTTAAAATAAATATTAATTTGATGAACGAGCAAGGGTCTTGCAATACGAGTAGTGTACGTACAGTATACGCTTTGTACTGCCGAGCGTCACGTGATCACAACTGATATACGAGCGCTTCGGATTACAAACACGTTTCTGGAAACGAATTATGCTCGCAATCCAAGGTTTTATTGTATTTGGCTACTGTGAGGATGATAAACCACTTCGTTGAGCTATAGTCTGCGATGGACGGGTCGCTTCTGAAACAATGAGCTAATAGCTCCGTCGGTTTTACCTAATATAATGAAAGAGTTGAAATTTTTATTTATAGCTTTCGTGACTGCAGGGGAAACAATAAAATTATAAAAATATAAAACAATAAAATTCTCACTTTTTTCAAATTTTCTTTGCTGTGGTTTTCACACCTTGTGACGATTGCTTGTGTTGGCAGTCGAAACGTCGTGACAATTGTATTGTTTTATATTTTTATTATTTTGTTTCCCTTCTACGTGACTTTACCGAAAGAACCAAGAATATGAAAGAGTTTAGTTTTATTTGCGTATATATTTTAATTTATTTGTTCCACCTTTCTGCACTCCAATCGTGTTGTTTCTATTTGCTGCTGTAACGTTCTGACCCCGTGCCCCTACTGGACACATCTGTAAACAAAACAAAAAAGGTGCTTTTTATAGTTCATCGATTCTCCTTGCAGGCTAAGCCGATGACGTCATCACTTGTGACGTCACCTCCTTGTGCCGCTTCAGGCGTAACGCGTCTCGAGAAGCGTTACGTAATGCGGGAAACACGCACGGTTCATCTTCGCCGCCTGTCGTTTCGTTGCTGTACATTTCCACCAATTAAATGATAACTAAATTCCAATTGCTTCATGGGGGGGGGTGGGGGGCAGGGCACCACGTGGTTTCACGAGTGGTGCAGCCCTTAGGTCTCTATCCACCGCTGGACGAAGGCCCGCTTGCGGGATCGGTGACGTGGGCCCCGTCGCCGAAGCACTCGCCGCAGGCAGCGGAGAAACAAAACCAGAGTTTCGGCACACGCAACACGACAAAGATCTCCCGTGTAGCCTACACAGGCTACAGGGGGGTGGGTGGGGTGTTGTTAAGGAGCAAGCGCGTATGAAGGCCGGCGCGGAACACGAGGGGGTGGATGGCCAGCGCCATACCCGGCCGCCTTTGTCTCTCCCCAGCGGCGATGTTTGTTTCTCTTTTACACGCCGCACCGGGTACTCATTTGAGGCCGAGTCGACCTAGGGGAGGCTCAGGACCGGTTCGGATAACCGTCACTGGTTTCAGCCGCGAGCGGGAATCGAACCCGGGTCGCCAGGTTCGTAGTGCAGCGTGGCGCTAACCGCTACAACTACCGCTCCCCACACGCTGCACACCACACACACCACATGCACACCACACACACACCGCACACACACCGCACACACACCACACACACACACCACACGCTGCACACCACACACCACACACCACACACACACCACACCACGCACACACCACACGCTGCACACCACACACACACCACACACACACCACACACACACCACGCACACACCACACACACCACACACCACACACACCACACACACACACCACACACACCACACACACCACACACACCACACACACACACCGCTCAGCCACCCAGACGCCCATGATGATGATGTCACTGCACATTAACGCAGCTCCAAGCCGGTTTCCGATTCGGAGCCAAAGGAAATTCTGTTTTTTTTCCTTCTTTCTTTCAACTCTTTGTTTTACGTCGAGGAAGGGTGGGGGGTGGGGGGGGGTGGGGTTGATGGGGTCGGCGAGGAGTGGTGGCGCAGCGGTTAGCGCAAGCCTGGGCTACGAACCCGGCGACCCGAGTTCGATTTCCCGCTCACGGCCAACAACATCACCATCTCAAACAGCCCTGGGCCTCCGCCTCGGGTCAAAACTCAGCCTCAATTGAGCACCTGGTACGATGTCCAACAAACATCGCCACTGGGGGGAGACAAAGGCGGCCGGGCGTAGTGCTGGCCACCCACGCCCCCTCGTGTGCCTTTCCGGCTTTCATTAGGTGCTGCTGCTCGCCAACAGCACTTGCCCCAACACAGTTGACTGGGTGACCTTTGTCTTTGTCTTTGGTGGTGGTGGGGGGGGGGTGTCGGTGCAGGGGAGAGGCTTAGCACTGCCAAGACACTGGAGGTGGTCACCACAGAGGATAAACAAAACAGCCGACAATGAGAGAACAAACACCGTGGCGGCTGGCCAGCGCAGGTGGCGGTGACGTTGACGGTGGTGGTGGTGGTGGTGGCCGTGACGTTTTACCAGTCACAGCATTACGGAACAGAGCGTACAAACGTCTGGAATTTGCCTTTGATGGTAGCGCGCGCGTACACACACACACACACAAAATACGTGGTAAGAATGCAACACGGGCGATTCGGGTTAGTCGCAACGATCAACGCCAAGGTCGAAGTCACGCCAGTATTTGAATGAACGGCGGCTGGGAGTCAACAGGACGCACGGCCGGAGTGCACAATGATGTGAATGACGATGATGGATGTTTAGTTTTATAGACGGTATTCCTTCGTTATTCATTTTGGAACTGTACACGACTGCATACAGAGAGAGAGAGAGATAACGCGATGAGAGATTAAGTGAAGCGAGAAAATGTGACGAACACAAAGTGATGAGACAAAGCAATGACACAATGCGATACCCACGACCTTTTGTATACCAGGCGAGGTAGTTAACATCTCCTAGCCACCGTGATGATGATGATGAGAGAGACATGCAAACTCCAAATATACAGCAGACGTCAAGGTTGAGATCGAACCCACGACCTCCTGTATACCAGGCGAGATAGTTAACATCTCCTAGCCACTGTGATGATGATGAGAGAGAGAGACACACAGCAAACTCCAAATATACAGCAGCAGGCGTCAGGGTTGAGATCGAACCCACGACCTCCTGTATACCAGGCGAGATAGTTAACATCTCCTAGCCACCGTGATGATGATGAGAGAGAGAGAGAGACACGCAAACTCCAAATATACAGCAGCAGCAGACGTCAGGGTTGAGATCGAACCCACGACCTCCTGTATACCAGGCGAGATAGTTAACATCTCCTAGCCACCGTGATGATGATGAGAGAGAGAGAGACACGCAAACTCCAAATATACAGCAGCAGACGTCAGGGTTGAGATCGAACCCACGACCTCCTGTATACCAGGCGAGGTAGTTAACATCTCCTAGCCACCGTGATGATGATGAGAGAGAGAGAGAGACACGCAAACTCCAAATATACAGCAGCAGCAGACGTCAGGGTTGAGATCGAACCCACGACCTCCTGTACACCAGGCGAGATAGTTAACATCTCCTAGCCACCCGTACCGGCACCCCAACGCATCGGAGGGGGCCTCCCGTTGTGCTCACCGGTTCGCGCCCCCCCCCCCCCCCCCACCCCGCCACTCACCACGCTGTAGCCGAGCGGCACGCTCGATGGGCAGGAGATGACGCCGAGGGCTGCGATGGGCTCCTCGCTTTCGCCGGGGAGGGCGTCCATGATGTCCCGTACCTCCGGCATGCTCCTGCGTGGCACGCGCGCATATCGACCGGGGCGGCGGTGGCGGCGGCGATTAAACCACGGTGACGCGATTTCGATGCCGGGACGCCGCCAGGGCGGTCGTAACGGCGAGCGAGAACGGAACGGAGTACGCCGGGCCCGTCCGATTTCCCGGACGCGGCGGGTGAAACGGCGGCGCGAGTCTCTTGAAACAAAAAATAATATTGAGTCTATTTTTTTTTATTTCACCAGGTGAGGCCCCGCTGAGTTGCTATACAGCGTATCGTCATCATCATCATCAGCATCATCGCGTGGAAATTTATAGCAGCAGGAAAATACTCCGAATGCGTGACGTCGATTCTAAAATGTGGAGGGAAAAAAACCGGAGGACCCGCCGGAGAAAAATCCACGCAAACACGGGGAGAGACGCAAACTCCAAATTACACGGCTCAAGTGGGGCCTTACCTGGTAAAATAAAAATTAGTTTCACGTAGTACAGTTGCTCAATTGTCGACAGTGGTGAGATACAGTGTGGGTATATGGTCATGTCCTTCCGTGATGTGCTGGCCCGGTGTGGAAGATTCGGTCCAAAATACTCTCTCGAGAGAGAGAGAGGCTCTCCGGGGCTGCCTCGAGTGGATATCCTTCTACCAGCAGTGGCACGAGCAGGCAATTGCAAGGCCGTGCCTCTACCGTTACCACGTGACTAAAACCCTGGTCACGCGATTAAACCCCCGGGTCTCGCGACGTTGCTGCCACATCATCGGAGAGTGAGAGATGGCGTCGGGGGCTCGGGGGCTCGGGGGGGGGGGGGTAGGCCTTTGTCCGCAGCAGTGGACTGATCGTGGCTGCCGATGACGTTTCGAGGGAGACGCGGACGGACACTCGGCACCACCGTGGGGGTTGAGGGCTGGTCAACCCAGGGGACTCGGACGTTGCCGAGTCGGCGTCTCCGCCTAGCCCACTGTGCACAACCCAAATCACTTTGTTCATGTTGTGTCACGTGCGTTCACGTGGTGTATTGGCAAATATTGCACGCGTTTCCCGTTTCCACGCACGATCGACGAGACAGGCAAGGTAAAGTGAGCCGGGTGTTTCGCAATAATCATTTGCACAGTTCTTGCCCAATAACGTGCTGTGCATGCTTACACACGGGATGTCACCGAAAGTCAAGTCACTCAGAAGCTACTTGGCAACAAATTATAGCTCAGCAAAAAAAAGTGGAAATTCACAGCAGCGAAATTATCTAAATGCACGTTTCCTAAATGTGGCGGAGCAGGTCAAATGAAGTGGCAGGCGTTATCCGGTGCGCAAGTCGCACAGCCTCCCTGCCCGTGCTCTGCTACGGCCGTCACCCGGTTATTTGCGTCAGGCACGCAGGTATGCGAGATGCTGTGGCTAAGCGCCACCCGAAGCTATGGCACTTTTTAATCGTCCAGATTGAAAACTCCTTTCTTATAACGTGGGGAATTTATAGCAGCGAAACTCTTGAGCGCACGATGTCGATTCTAAAATGTGGAGGGGGGGGGGGGGGGGAAACAAGAGGACCTGGAGGAAAAACCACGTGACCACGGGAGAGAGACACGCAAACTCCAAAAGTACAGCAGCAGGCGTCAGGGTCAGGATCAGACCCACGACCTCCTGCATTTTAGGCGAGGTAGTTAACGTCTCCTAGCCACCGTGATGATGAGACGGAGAGACCTGCATACTCCAAATATACAGTAGTAGGCGTCAGTGTCGGGATCGAACCCACGACCTCCTGTACACCAGGCGAGGTCGTTAACATCTCCTAGCCACCGTGATGATAATGAGAGGGAGAGACACGCAAACTCCAAATATACAGCAGCAGGCGTCAGGGTCGGGCTCGAACCCACGACCTCCTGTACACCAGGCGAGGTCGTTAACATCTCCTAGCCACCGTGATGATGATGAGAGAGAGACACGCAAACTACAAATATACAGCAGCAGGCGTCAGGGTTGGGATCGAACCCACGACCTCCTGTACACCAGGCGAGGTAGTCAACATCTCCTAGCCACCGTGATGATGATGATGATGAGAGGGAGAGAAACACGAAAACTCCAAATATACAGCAGCAGGCGTCAGGATCAGGCTCAGACCCACGACCTCCTGTAAACTACCTCGCCTGATAAACATCTCGTAAAGCACGCAGGCATGCGGGATGCTGGAGCTAAGCGCCACCCGGAGCTATGGTACTGGCAAATGATCTACAGTGGTACCTCGTTATACGTCGTCAATTCGTTCCAGAAGGGGTAGGAGGACTTATACCGAAAGTGACGTCTACCAAAACGAATTTTTCCAATAAGAAATAAAGGTAAAGGAAATAATCCGTTCCAGAGTATAATAAATTATATTTTATATGGCATATCATACATTAATGTGGTTGTATAACATAATATAGACACTACTTATTATTACTAAAATGCGTACGTACATTAAAATAAGTGCGTAAATAAATAAACATGAATTGAAATAAAAATTTAAATGTAACGTCACTTTACCTTGCTGAGAGGAGTTGATAGCCTACGAGGATGGTGGTGAGGAAGGGGAAGAGGAGATGTTATTGTTTGGAACGAGAGTCCCCTTCCATTAAAACTTCAGGAAGCTGAAAATCTGGGGGGGATTTTTTTCTATTTTCTGTCTTGTTTTCTTGACTTGGACCTGGTTAAGGCTCACCAGCTTTGAGTTTTACTAAAAACCTGTCCATTAAAGTTTGTTTTTGCCTTCTTCTAAGAATGTTCCCGAAGTGTGACATTGTCTGGTCATTCCATCCCGAGCCATACAAGTTCTAGCAAGCGCCTCGTATCCCAAGCAAGACGTATCCCAAGACGTATCCCCAGCAAGACGTCGTGCCCCAAGACGTCGTATCCCAAGCAAGACGTATCCCAAGCAAGACGTATCCCAAGACGTATCCCCAGCAAGACGTCGTGCCCCAAGACGTCGTATCCCAAGCAAGACGTATCCCAAGCAAGACGTATCCCAAGACGTATCCCCAGCAAAACGTCGTGCCCCAAGACGTCGTATCCCAAGCAAGACGTATCCCAAGCAAGACATATCCCAAGACGTATCCCCAGCAAGACGTCGTGCCCCAAGACGTCGTATCCCAAGCAAGACGTATCCCAAGCAAGGCGTCGTATCCCAAGACATATTTTTTCTCGTCAAAACACGACATGTACCAAATTCGACGTATTCCAATGCGGTCGTATACCGAGGTATGACTGTAGATTGAAAACTAATTTCTTTAGAATTGCTTTTCTGCATTTGGCTTATTGTCCTTCCCCCGCCGCACCTCCGATGAGCACGGTTGGCTACGTACGATGCAAAAAGTTCAACATTTATGGTTGTGATGGTGGTGATGGTGGTGATGGTGTGGCCGGTGGCTTGGAATACTTCTCCTTCCGATGTTAGGAAGCCACTGGGAACTATGCACTCTAAACAATCTACATTGAAAACTAATTTGTTTATAATTTCTCGTGTTTAAGTTGATTGTCCTTACTCTTTGGTTCTTTCGGTAAAGTGACGGAGGGAGAAAAATAAAAATAAAACAACTGGAACAGTTCCACTGCTGGATGATTTTTTGTTCCACCCGAGGACGGCCGCTTGTGTTGCGATCGAAAACGTTGTGGCAGATTATTTTTAGTTTTATTTTATTCTTCTACCCACGTGGACTTTACCGAAAGAACCAAAGAGTTATGGATTCCTGCAGTCACGAGAGCTTCAAATCAAGATTGATTGTCCTCCCCCTGCACCTCTGATTAGAACGGCTGGCTACGTACGGTGCAAAAGCAGTTCAACATACATATGCATACGTGATTTACTTTGGGGGTGCCACGTTGGCTAGGAGATGTTAATTACCTCGCCTGGTATACAGGAGGTCGACGGTACGATCCCCACGCCAACGCCTGCTGCTGTATATTTGGAGTTTGCATTTTCTCCCCCGTGGTCGCGTGGATTTTCCTCCGGGTCCTCTCCGGTTTTTCCCTCCACATTTAGAATCAACGTCACTACGCGTTTACAGTATTTCGCTGCCGCTATAGATTGCCACGCGGCAATAGGCCACTTCGTTGGGCTGTCATTTGTGAACGGCCAGGTAATTTATGAAAAAGAGTTACACAGGAGCAGCTCAGCCGGGGCCTTCACTGGTAAAATTTAAGGAAAAAAACAGACACATCAACACATGCACCTCTCTCCACGCTTCATTGCAACACCTTTCAGCTGTGTTTAGACTTTGCCTCACCGATGCCCGGTGTTGTCTCCGATCCGTACGTCACAGCGGGTGATATTCACCGACGCCAACTTAACGTCGTTTTAAGCACACATTGGTACGTTGCTCCTCGCTGTACGCAGCGCGAGCGTTACACTTTGGCGGAATTATAAGGCTTTACACTTCAGCGTCGTTAGCCTTGAGAGTCTCGTATGATAAATAGGTTTGTGTATGCAAATTTAATTCAAATCGTGTGCGAATGCTTTATTCAAATACTGCTCAGTAACAACTACATCTGTTTTGATTCAAAGCTTTCGTGACTGCAGGCATTCATATTCTTGGTTCTTTCGGTAAAGTCACGTAGAAGGGAAACAATAAATAATAAAAATATAAAACAATACAATTCTCACGACGTTTCGACTGCAACACAAGCAATCATCATCAGGTGTGAAAACCACAACAATTAGTCTCTCCACGTAAAAAAGCATTTTGTTTTACACATCCCATCAGCCGCGGTGCCCCTCTGAGGGCGCATCATTTCAGCAGCATTGGTTCACCAAAACTTTCAACTGGTTTCAACATTCAGTGTCTCGTCAGCAAAGTCAGGATCGCTTGAACCAATGCTGGCGAAATGCCCGATGTTTATAGGCAACGACTTGTTTTGATACTCATTAACTCATCAGCAGGGTCAGGTTCGCTTGAAAACAATGCCGGTGAACTGCCAGATGTTTGTAGGCAAGGATTTGGTTCCGCGTTGCATCGACTCATCAGCAGGGCCAGGCTCGCTTGAGCCAATGCTGGT